CTGACAGTTATAAATGTTGTTTACTAGACACGCGCAATTCGTTATATTATCCCGATATGACAGGGCCCATATTCTGTACACATCTACTACTGACAGTTGTGTTGATAATTAACGCCAATGATAGCCAATGGACTGTTCTAGGAGAAAAGTGTTCTTATTGGCTATCGCTACTTAATGACAACTGTCGGTAGACGCATACAGAAGGGCCTAGAATTAATATCTTATTTCACGGGGGAGGCCGCCGCGTTCTATCGCCAAATTCTTTTGTTTCGAATGAGTATAACGCAAAACGCATCGAATGAGTATATTTCTATCAAACTTCGCGGTGACGTATGTATTTTAAATAAAAATCGACATTAGACTTTGTCATTCAATGCGTTTTTACTTTTTACACAAAACGAAAGAAAATTGGGGAAGAAACGCTGGATCGGCCTCATGAATCGAATGACAGATTCAGGTTAGAAAATCTGTCATACCAACGAAATGTAGCGACAATAATTGTTGCGTTTGCCTTCCTCAGCTCCGATATTGATAAAATTAGGCTCATTCGACGCTGTTTTGCACGAAATGAATGAATCTTGCACAAAAAAAAAATAAAAAAAAGTTTTACGCGAACCGAGATATTAATTATTGTTAAAATTGATAAATATTCAGGTTAGGAAATCTGTCACCTCGAAGGCATGAGTATAGAGGATTATACATATATTCTGTTTTAAAAATACAAATTCTTTACTTTAAGCCCATTCTATAATTGCGTAAGTGTAGTTGTAAATGGTTGCACTTGTAAGAATTAACCAATCAAATACGAAGAAAATGTTCGACTATGATTAGTCAATTCTTACAATTACAGCCACTTACAATTATATTTACATAATTGTAGAATGTGCTTTAAAACAAATGCTTTGCTTTAGAAACACAAAAATTCTTTACTTGAAAAACACAAATTATTTTCTATATAATTTTTGTTTTTACAGTAGAGAAATTGCGAGAATTTGTTTTAAAGCAAAGAGAATTTGTGTTCTTTGAAAACAAACACATATCTAACCAAAACAAGTTCTCTGCTGTAAAAACAAAAATTATATGGAAAATAATTCGTTTTTAAAACAATTAATTTTTTTAAAGCAGAAAATTTGTAAAAACACGTCGAATAAGTCTAATTTTGTATTTTTAATTAACATCAGAGATGAAGAGGTTGAACTCAACAGTTATAAAGCAGAGAATTTATTTTTAAAGTAGAGAACTGTGTTCCGAAAAATTACTGTTATTTTTATTTATTATTTGTAAAAAGTGAGATTTTCTAATTTGAATAGTTATTAACTATACAAGTATAATGCTTAATATCTCCATTTGGAATCCAACATTTTTTCTTCCAGATTTTCATGCAAAAATACATTAAATGAGCTTTATTTCAAAATCACACATAAAGCCCATATTCTAAATACTTATCAAAATTTTATATTTTATGGGAGCACGTAAAAGTATTTCTCATTTTGTATTTTAGAATTAATAAATGAATGGTTGAAAGTATTTTGTATTTTAAATCAGTTTTATTTAAAACTAATTTAAAAATTAGTTCAGACTAATTAAATGTTTTATTGTTTGAACAAATATCTTTTTGACATATCGCCCTTGACATCATCTATTTATTTTTATATAACGAGTCATTATTTCTTTTTGTATTAATTTGTTTATTATTTGAATTACAAAATACAAAAGCTTTCAATCTTTTAATTTTAAGTATAAAATATGTAATATTTTCATATGTACTCCACTGAAGTACAAAAACACTTATATCGCAAAAACTGTTTTAAATAAAATTTCTAATATATGACCATAATCTTGAATCAGTTATTGGGACGAAAGAAAAGATAGACAAGAGCAAATTAACATGGAACAGAAAACAAGAGAAGACAAAAATGAATGAAGGCAGGAAGGAAAGAAAGAGAGAGAAAAGGAGAGCGAGGGAGTGAGAAGAATGAAAGAGGAAGAATTGGAGGGGAAATATATATATGTGAAGAATTGTAAAAATTTAATAAGATTTAAAAAACTTACCTTAATCTCTTAATAACAATTTTGTGTACCATAAGAAATTATCCACCTTTTCACCTCTATATATCATATTTTGCGATCAACACACACACACACACGCACACACTGACAAAAAAAGGCATATGTGGTAACACTGATCATTTGGAAGAGAATTTCCTCGATTACTTTACACTTATGTTATACTGAAGTTAAACTCTCTGGAAGGTGTATCTTTATAGGTACATAACCAAACTATCTAAACGCAATGCAGCTAAATCATAATATGACACTCATACTATTTTGCTACATTTCTTCATATTCGTTGATCACTACTCCGCACTGTTCCATCAAACCACCATAGCGAAATACTGAATAGCACTCTAATATAAGTTTCGATACCATAGACGTAATACAAATATAAGGCCAAGCGACTCTCTCTTTACTCTAATGTAGGGTTCACATAGCATACGACATCCGATATCCAATAGGAAAATTTGTTTCCTGGACACCTATCATGGACTCCTTTTACATCGAGCACTTGATACGCGTATCAACTAGTAACTTTCTATTAAATTATTTTAATTTCACCAATGTATTTAACAAATAATGCATTAAATTGGTACATATGCATAAAAATAATTAATTAAATACACATTAATGTATATATTTACACATATCGCCAAAGTTAACATAATTCAATAAAAAGTTACTGGTTAGTATCCGTATCGAATGCTCGATGTGAACTACTTTCTGTTAGTTCTATACTACTTCATACCAACGCGAGTTCTGATTGGCTACGGCTTTTCCGCTTTCCACTTTTTCGTTAAAGTGTGAATCCGCCCTTACATGTACCAAATCTCATAGGGTAATGTCCACATAATTGTGGTTCTCTTCCATACTATGTTGGCTTCAAGCCAACATGGGTACGAGAGAGATTGGTTCCATCCATCGTTTCATTCGTTCCGTTTTCACATATCTGTCGTATTTATTGAAATATGAACGGAACTAAGCATGCGCATTACGAATTTTAGTTCCACTATATCTTTCTCTCTCGCATCCATGTTTGCTTCGATCTAAGCGCTCATTAGCGTATATGTATATTCTAAAAGCGAATACGATGCAAGTTCTAATTTTTCAAATATTGTTCTCATTTAAATTCTACTATTGGATATTTTTGCTAGAAAAAAAGTTGCATTCTTTCACATAGAGAATCACATTATACATTTCATGTGCGCGAATAGAGAATATCCATCCTATACGTAGTACGGGTGACACGCGCGCACGTTAAAATATAATTAGTTATGCAATGAAAATCAATATTAGAAGCTAATTAAAATTAATATGAATAATAGATTGGTACGATCGGTAATCGGTATATGTAATTATGGAAATAAGCGCATATAAGCTACATGCAGGATCGTTAACTAATGTTAATCTCGATCATAATTCAAAACATATACCTTGATATCTTTTTGTTCCAAGATTCAATTATGAATTAACTTTGAAGGATATGTTATTAAAACAGCATAAGACACCATTGTATGTTACAATTAAAGGTCATCAGAAATGCACTTAAAAAAGACAAAGATTTCTTATATTCATTTAATAGTTTATGGACATGAAAAATATATTCCACCTATTATTTCATACACATCTGGTACAATATTCTTTTTATTTGCAATATAAAATGTTTTATAAGACCGTAATGCAACTACACAACAAATCAGAAATACAGTTCCTAAACTCTTCTGTTTGCAATTATATTTTTCCATTAATCTAATTCTAATTTATGTCGTTAAAATTACAAATTTCTTATTACAAACTTCTTAACGTGATGTTTAAAAAATGTTTTTAAAATGGACCATATTTTCTTTGAAAAATATCTTTTGCTATTGTTATTACAAAAAAATAAATGAATACTTTTTTAAAAAATTCAACTATTACTATTCCTACAAAAATTTGTTTCTCCTATTGTATATTGATATAAAATGTATATCACTTTATAATCAACTTATATAAACACACATGTGATGTATATATTACAAAGATTTTGTTACAACGCTACCAACTACCAGGTATGTGTAAATACACACATTATTTCCATATATTATCGGTGAAGGTAATAAAAGTTAATGTGAATGATACCTAATTTATACCTAAAATTGAATCCATGAAACCGGATAATATTTATTATACAATATTTATAATTGTGTAAATTAAGAGGTGCAATATTGTCTAATATTAATAAAAAATCTAAATGCTGAACTTTTATGGATTCTCAAGAATTTGCAGCAAAACACATTATGCATCTCTATTAAACGAGAGATCACATATTTGATATTACAGAGGAAATATTTATTTCCATGTGTATATTCTAAATTTACAATTAAATATTTTTATATCCTACAGTCCAAAAATGAAGAATATAAATCTATAATTTTTGGTGTCGCACCAACGATTTTGTTCTAAGAATATTCCATCGTCAAGTTCGAAGGTATACGAATATTAATTTATTATAAAAACAAGTTTGTTATGTAACTTTGTACAGTATATAGTATATATAGTATAAGAAAAATAATTTTAAAGCTATGTAGCAATTATTATAAATTACAGAAACAAATTGTATTTTTAATAAGAAGCAATGCCTATTTCAGCTTCCAGTTGAAGCTGGATCTTGAGTGCTTTAAATAATTTTATGTAAATTTATACAACCACATGATTGTTATCTTTTGAATTGCGCACTCAATTGGTTTTCCAGACTTACAATTAGAAATGTAACTAAAATTGTTTTTGCTAAATGTAAAATATATTAATAGTTTGAAATAAAATTTAAAAGTGTTATACACAATTTCATGTTAGCTTTAAAATATAAATACCACTGGTAATATCAATTATAAATATCACTCATTTGCAACTGTTGCTTTAAATAAAAATAAGCATTACAAGTGACAAATAATGCGAGTATACTGCCGAATTTAATATATATAATCTACATTTATTACAATTATTTTCATAAACATGAAAATGGTTATTTAAGGCAAGGATATCTTACTTCGTTACTGTGATTTCCTTCTTCTTGGACCATCGTGCGTCGCACATAATATAAAAACATCTTACCAAAAGCAAGATAGCACATATGTAAGCATGCTATAATGTATATAACTAGATGTTATAAAGAATAAATGAAGGACTAGGAATCTTAATGGATCCTGATGTACTTTGGTACTTCCTCTGTTTGATCCATTTGTGCCAAGAAATGATCCATGTTTATAAAAATGTTCCAATAGTACCTCTTTCTCTACCCATCTATCATATAACCATCTGGATAATTGTTCTGGTTCGCGAGGTACCTATCATCATAAAATATTACGTAACATATTGCTATACGTATTTGCGTTACATGTTCTACTTCATGTCAAGTCACTTACCACTGAACTAGGGAAAAGTCGATAAAATAATACCGTCTCACACGGAGGTCTTGAACCAGTTATAATAGTAGGCAAGTCAAGCGGCTTACCTTGAGGATACGCTATTGTTATATCAAGAATCCAACTAATTTCTGGATTAACTACCGCCAAACCTATAAATATATCATAAAATTATATGTAATATATTTTGCAATAATTATATCATTAAAATTTACATATACTATAGATATTTGTACATATATTGACATATATAATAAGATACATATGTTGAAAACCATGAAAGCCTCGAAAGCATTATCCAGTTATATGATATAATACATATATACTAATATATTAATAACATTAACATGCAATAATTTATAATACAAAATGTAATTTTATACTTGGTCGGCTATTCAAGTGTTGATCCTCTGCATTCCTATTTTCTGCTGGTCCAAGAGTATCAAAAATCATCTGCATAGCTCCTACTCTTGGTAAAGTCACATTTTCAAGAATAGGCAGATTATTCTTCTTAGCATATTTTTGTGACGTCTCTCTTCTTTTACACAAAAAGCCACCTTCCGGAAAAAGTACCATCCATTTTCTATCTCGTGGTATGTACGAATCTTTGAGATGTTTTTGTAATTGTTTCAAACTTTCTTCCCTTCTTTTACGTCCCTATAGTTATCTAATATATATTAACTGAAGATAACAGATAACCTGCATTTTTTGTTACTATACTGTCACTGTACTATTATATTACATTATAAAAAGCAAGTAAATAGTATAAATATATTCAATATATTCTGTAAATACAGGGAATTCCTCGGTCGCCATTTTTTTTAGATATTTTCGATGGGTTAACAATAAAATATTTCAAACAAAAGTTTATTGATTTTTAATGAAGAATTGTGAAAAAAAAATTTCAAAATAATTTATTTTTTAACCAAAAATTGAAGTGAAATTTAAAAAAAAAAATAGAATCATATATTTTCTTTTCTATATTGTTATAGTATATAAAAACAAATTTATCGATATAGTATTATGTAACATGTTAATTATTCGATCTTAATTTAATTAATATTTGCAATATAATTCACAATCTATTGTTGACATCTGAAATAGTGAGAAGCACTTAAACAAATATGACTGTAGGGAACATATATATAGTACAAACATAAAAATAGTAGTAGTCGAAATATGTAAATACACATAAAGTAGCGATTGATTCAAAAAATATCCTGCATACATTCTTAAGAAATAAATTTGCACTCACTGATATGATGAAAAAATCTTGATGTAATATAGAAACTATCCCAAAATTAGTAAATTTGAACACTCTATCCATTATCCACATTAAATTAGGTAGAACATTTGGTTTGGCGTTAAATGTTGTCATTAATATAGGAACATCACCAGTGCTCTGATGATTTGCTATAACTAGTGTTTTTTCACTTATAATTTTCTGTATGTCATCACCTTGTTCTATTACTGTAAAACAAAAAATTTATTATATTTTTTTTACAAACTTATTTTTTTCCAATTTACATTCTTTTATTAGTACTTACTGTCGTAACCTGCAGACCAAGTCCACATTGATACCATTGCCAATAACCAGTGGAAAAATAGGCCTTCGATTCGCCAGTATACTTGAGGTTGATATATTTTTACAGGAAATAATAACATCATCCATACTACATATGTAGGTATGCAATAGACATTGTTTACTATCACAAATGCCGTTCGTACAACACATTTCAGTAAAGTTACTATGTTGCTGATTATTCTATAAGATGTACATACTCTAAATAAAAGTAAATAAATTTATTCATAAGTCTTATTGATAATAGACTATTATTAATAGGATATTATATATGTTTTAAGATATACACAAGAAATTCCAAATATTTTCATGTAGATAAAAGTTTTCTATCTTTTGTCATAAAATAGAATATATTTTGTATTCAAATTTCTGCATTTAGTACTTTATTTTATCAAAAATATATAGAAATAACATACAATCCAAAGTGCCATTCTAAAATTTATCATAATGTAGTATATATAAAAATTATTTTATTAAACTTAAATAACATAAGAATTCTTGTCTAATTCCTGTAGTCTTATAAAAACTTCTGTTTATTTTTATAATAAATATTTTTTATTAAGTTGACCAACAGACATTATTTTTACATCAATACATTGGATGCACCTAATATTAGATTTTCAACTCACATATTAAAGATTAGGTTATAATTTATATTTTTTGTTTTCTTTAATTCAATTATAATTCATAAAATAAAAATATAATGTAAATAGTAAATTATTTAACAAGATATACAATAAATAAAATTTATATCAATTAGTATACTGTGATTAGATTAGTATATCATGATTAAAGTATTTTTATAAATGTAATGAATTTATTTTAAAAACATTCAAAAAATTATGAAAAATATTATCTGTTATTCTATATTGTATTTAAGCACTAGAAAAAAATATAGCGCTTTTTACATAAATAAAAAATTATTTCAATAAAAAGTAAATATGTATTCTAATATTAAAAAATAATAAAAGATCAGAATTTGATTTATAATATAATATAAAGCGCTTCATTGCAAAAAATGCACAGATTAGTTGTTCAGTAAACAAACAAAATTTTATTTATTTATAAAATAAACTTTTCTTAATGCTGTCAAAAATAATTTAATTTTTAATAGACTAAATAAACTATAAAAAGATTATTCAATAAAAATATAATCTTATTTGTCAAACTTTCATATAAATATATATATCTTATATATATATATATATATATGTATATATAAAAAGTATAAATATTAAATACATTTCCAAATCTTTAAATTTACTTTGCAGAGACTATACAACCAACACATTCTTAAATACATATGTTTTTGATAATAGTAAACATATATATTTTTAATCTATATTTCCTCTAAATTCTTAAATATAATTAATGAACTTTATGCTTTTATCATAACATATTATATTAAAATGTAACAAAAATGGCAAAACAAGGATATTAAAGATTACAAAAAAAAAGAGCAAAATGTTTAAAGTTCATATATTTGGATGTTATCTCTCTCATTCTCTCTCCCTCTCTCTTCAACATCTTCATATGTTCAAGTTTCATTCGATGTAAAATATAAGGTTAAATGCATTTTTTCCATATAGTACATGGGCTACCTTTTATATCACGATATTCACACGATGGAATTTATCTTGTGTATCATTTAGAAGTTGAAATTAATATAAAAAATATCACAATCATGCAAAAATCGTGAGATTTGCATAAATGAGCAGACGTTACCTGACAAAAGAAGAGGCGGCAGAGGTAGAGTCAGTCATTTTTGAGTGCCACCATCCGTTGCAAAAGATCGAAAGAATTTCATACACTTTTTCTTCACCATATCATTTTCTTATGTGCAATTTACATAACAAGGAATCATTATTCTGAAAGACATACGCGGATCAACGAATACGTTTGACCGTCAAGAATTACTTGGAATTACTGCAACGTCGACGTAAGCATATATCTGCAAGATTCAATACTCGCGCTCGATCTTCCGTTTCTCTATTATATAAACGTTTTATCGTGGACGCTTTTACTGTGGCGTGAGAAATGCGAGTGAATTGTCAATAATTTATGTATTCTTCCCGCCTCTACCGCCGATTAAATCTCAAATAGATCGTTTCTGTTGAAATATTTCGTTATTCATCGCTTTTGTTGTCCTGTTTGTGTTCTACCAGAGAGAAACCTGAGCTTGAGATCGGCCATTCGGCTTTTCTCCTGTGACGCTTCTAACTTCCCGTACGCTAGCGCACTAATGTCCGTTTTCGAGATACGAGAACTACGTATTATGTCTACTGTGTCACGCCGATAAAATCGTAGCACGTCAAAAGTGGACATAAGCAGAGAGAAACCCTGAGAGTGGACATCCTTTTTTCATGTATCAAATCTCGTAAGACAATGTCCACGTTTTGTGTCGTTCTTTTCCATACTATTACAGGTTAGACTGGAGACCCTATAATAGATGTGCGTGAAGTTAGCACCGCCATTTTGTTTAATCGGAAAAATAAACATTGTGCTGAGTTGTGCTCGTTTTGTGCCACGGTATAGCACAACTCAGCACAACCGTTAAATTCGCCGACACACCGATATTAAGGGTACTTTACTCTTGAGCGCGGCTCTTCGCCCAAGGCTTTTTTGTTCAAAATTCGGGTTTGTAGGGCTTCCATGTAATCGATACTGTATATTTGAGTCACATTATACCTCGTAGAGAAAAGAATTTACAATTGCATGCGTCCAATTTTTTACATCATTTCGCAAACATTTTTCGCCTATGAAACATAACGTTTAGCATTTCGAAAAAATGCTTTTATTACGTAGACTTTAATTACTGAATTACTGCAAAATGGGACTAGACACTCAACTATTTTTAATAACTGTCAGTACAGATTACGGATCGAGCGTAAAGCCCTGTGTCCACGGTGCTAGAACCCTGTCCGAATTTTCGAACCAAAAAATGTGTAACCAATGAACTTGTCGTTTTTCCGTAAAAACTACATGTTGATTGGCTACACATTCCTGGATCCAAGAACTCTGACAGAGTTCTAGTACTGTTGACACAGAACTTAATTAAGCGGATCGCCAATTACAGAATTGTTCTGTAAAGGACCCTGGCACACAAAAAAACTTAACGCAGTAAGACTTAGCAGTAAACGAATTGACCAATCACGTAAGGCCATAACTTAAGCAGTAGCAAATCCACAACGTTGATTTCCTTACTGCTTACGTCTTACTGCCTTAAGTTTTTTGTGTGCCTAGAGCTAAAGACCTGACTGTCTTCCGTGGCGGGAATATTTAAATAGAAATCGAAGATAATTGTTCAGTTTAGCCACATCCCCTTAAAATCAATGAAATTATTTTTTCTTTTCCTTCGCCTTGAACTAAATCTTATCCCGAATTGACTCTGCCGAACTACATTCGCATAAGATTTATGATTGTTTCATAAAAGATTTTCTTTATATATAGCAAGTAAATTATTTCTCAGATGGCCATAGGAACCTAAAAATAATTCTTTTTAAGTCTTAAAATTATATGAAATATATATAATAAAAAGATGCAGGATGGAAAAGATGAAAGAAAAAAGAGAAAATAAGGTTAATCAAGGTTTTTTCTGAAATAAATTTAGGGTTATAAAAAAAAAACATCGAATACATATATATATTTTTTTGCAATAATTCATATATATAAATATTCATCAAATGCCGCTACACGTACTTTGTACCTGTAAATAAATTTCGCCTGAAAGCATACTACTGAAAATATAGAACATATTTTTAATATTAAAGATGTTAAAAATGAAAGGCAGTTAACATTTATTTCCCAAATAAAAAAAATGTTACGAGAATTCATTTTTACTAAGAACTTTCTTCATAGTTTTTTCCAAAATCGGTAGTAACTCGCAATAAGAGTCTACACACTTGGTGGCACATTTTTCAAATTCTTCGCTATACCTATCCACTTCAGTTTGAGTCGGGTTCGGGCCCATTTTGTCTTTTATATTATCATTACATTCCATTATGCACCTTTGTAAGCGATTCTGGAAAATTTCGTATTTCATAAATTAAATAAAAGCAAACATACTTTTTTGAGAGATAAGATCTCAAATTGAGATATTTTGCCTTAAGTATCTTTTAGCATGAATATCTAACATTGTATATACATATATACAAGGTAGAAGAAGTTTCATCATCTTTCATCATCTCTCTAATAGAATGCCTGATTGAGCATCAAATTATTAAATTGCTTGTCAATTTAATTTGTGATGTTATGCTACTATTAGTTCAGTTGAGTTTTAAATCCGAAAATTTAATTTGCTACGCAATTCAAATAACTACATATGTGGTATAAAAATTCACATATAAATTATTTAAGCATTTAAGATTCAGCTTCGTTACAGGTTTTAGACTTTCATTTTATTGTAAATGGAACAAATTTTATTACCTGTACTCGTTCGAACTCTCCTTGAACATATTGTTGCGCTTTATTCAAAGAGGAACTACAATTCTCCACACAGGTATGTACTTTTTGTATGCTATATGATTCATTTTCACAACATTGTGCAGCGCATTTATGCATATCGCTCTAAAATCACAAATATAATTTGTAATGTGAATTCTATAATTCTGAATGTAAAAGTGAGATATCTGAATTGATAAAATGCCTAATATGTATATTTAATCAAAAATTGATCAGAATTTTATAAATTCACTGCAAATGCAGAAAATTTGTTTAAATTGTTTAAAGCAGTGAATTGTTTTTAAAACAGTAAATTTGTGTTTTTTAAACAGAGAATTTCGCAGTATTTTGTGGATGTGACAAATTTTCTAACTTGAATAATGTCAATTTTAACGTTTAATATTTCGGTTCGCGGAACCGAGCCAATGTTTTTTCTTATGAATTCTTTCATTTCGTGTAAAAATGAGTCTAATTTCAATAAAAGCGGAGATGAAGGAGGTATTCTAAATAATTACCTAGGTATTTCACATACACTAGGTTAAACAATAACCTAAAACTCAACAATAGTACCTGCATTTTCCGTAAATACATCTTGTCAATTTCTTCGACCATTTTCGTCATATGATCTTCTACTCGTTTTCTCTGTTCCTCCATTTTAATTTCAAATATTTGTTATATCTTGATTATATTAGTGATATACAAGTGTAATATACGAGTTTTATTACTACAGTAACAGGGCATGGCCGCATCCGCCGCGTGGTCGCATGTCGATTGTCGGCAAACCGGCATGGTACCCGATAATGGAAGCAGAAAGAAACTTGAGAGAGAGGGCATGAAGGCTTTTTCCTGTAACCGCAAAATGCTTCCGTGCACTATTGCCCTCTGAAGAAGTGAATATCAACTACATAACATTTTATGATGCTCTTGATGCAAATAAATCGTTGAAATCGCTAAAATAATTAAAATCCGCTCTTATCTTAAAACTATTTTTATTTTAAGACAAGTGAGTTTTTATTTAAGTCGCTAATACTGCCCTCTGAGTACCGTCTATAGACCTTACAAGTATGGACTAGCGATACGATCATATATGTCTGTACTTCCTTTCTAAAATTGTTCGAAAGTACGTTTTGTACATGCTTGACGTATTATATTATTGTTACGGCCATACGAAGTAAAATAACAGAAAATGTCGAAAAGTTATGTTTTCTACACTTTAATTTAAAATAAAATAATTTTTTACACATTGTTTTTTTTCTTTTGGATTCTTGCATTTGATTACACGTTACAGATAAAAACATTTAAATCAAAAAATTTAATGCCCATTTTCATCAGTGTATGTAAATTGATTTTAATCTCTATTCAACTTCTTTGTTTTTTTCTAGTTCTAAAAATTAAAAAAAGATGAACAGTAAATTAAACCGAGACTAAACTAATCTATCTAGTGAAAATGGGCATAAAATCGGTCAGAAAAATATTGGTCTGAATTAAATATCGAGTTTCGAATCAAAAATTTTATCCTGAAATTCAGGTATCCGAACATTTGGAACCCGTCCGACTCAATAATTACTCAATCAGAACCGATCCGTATTTTTGGGTACCGAATACCCGTACATCCCTAGTTCACAAAAGAGTTAAGCTACGATTACACAAAAATATTTTCTAAACTATGCTTTTTTCTCTACCTTAATATATTTTTATATGCATAATAAATGGAGGAATGACATATTATATAAAAGAAATTATATAATATAGTTCCATCAAAAATGAGAAGATAATTTCTTTTGAAAATGAGAAGAGATATCTTTTTGGTGCCTACATATAAAAAAAAATATGACCAAAATACATTCCTCTCATAACTGTTATTAACTTTTATTCGAAATATTTTTTCGTATCATTAATAATTTCGGAACAAATTTATATTGGTTAAAATGGAGTATCCTGTACATTGTGTGTATATATATATATATATATATATATATGTATATGCGTGTTCCTGTTTTATAGTATATGCATGTTTTCTACAGTTACGTTTATTTACGTTCGCCTCACTATTTTAAGTATTAACGCTAAATTCGTGAATTATGTTGTAAGTATTAATTACATTATCTCAGGATCGTATAATTAACTTGATATATAACATGCTATATTAAATTCATTTTTTATGTACTATAAGAATACAAGAAGAAAAATATATAGTTCCATTTAAAGAACATAACTGTTATTCGAAACATTTTGTTGTCAATATCTAAAAGAGAGGTATCTAAAAAATTATGATAATTCGAGAAATATCCCTGTATATTACATATATAGAGGATATTTCTCAAATTTGCCATAATTTTTAAACACTATATACATGGATCACAGCAAGTCTTGATGTTGATACTAATAATAATGTATTTAAACTCGTCTCTATAATTGAGTCTTATATTTAAAATTGACTTAAGTATATATAGTATTAAGTTGTTATGGATCAATCAAAGAGCTTTATTAGCATTACTTAAACTATCGATCATAAAATAAGAACAGTATATAAATATTGGTCTTAGAATATGTATATATATCAGGTTAGAAATGTGCACAATAATAGCTTGAGTTTACAGTCTTCCTGCCAGTAATCGGTGCAGATGACCTAACTGCTTACTTGTCTTGGAGTTACCATTTTAGAGAAACGTTGAAAACGAACGTGTCTGTATCGATGCCGAAAATATTTCCTTGAGCCCCGCGTAAGCAAAGCTTAACGTGACTCCCATGCAAATTTACTCGCGCGCATATGATGCACATTAACGTATATACGCGATTGTCGTTGTAACTATATTGTAGATATTTTTAAGTGTTGCATCAACGCCACGCAATGTTGCTACAGCGCGGAACAAAAGTGTTACGCAAGATGTTACATGCGTTTCCTTCTCGCTCTTTTGTGATGTGAATCAGAAGCGTATAATATATATATGTGATGCATAGTGTCTCTACACGCACAATGATGATTTCTCTATATTATTATTCGCTGCAACATGAAGGCCAAAATGAGAAAACATTCCCATAAGAGTTGTCATAATAGATTTACCCAGAATAAATTGCACTCGTATATAGCGCGCATACGTGATTCTATCAAATGTGTTCGATTAATACAATAAGGGCTTTTTGTGATTTAGATTTGGATTTGGTGAACAATAGGTTGTATACATATAGAATGTTTCAAAGCTATCATATTCTTACAATGATCTTTTGATTAATGTAACAAAACGGTCAGTGATCGAGCTTAATAAAGAAATTATAAATAATGTTATAATGTATGTATTACATAAATAATGGAATGAATCAACATTTCTGATTACGGATTTTTCTTTAGCACATTTAGCGATAAAGGTGAGATTTTTCTTATTAAGGCATTTATTTATAGTATTAACGGTAATACGAATGTATAATTAAAATGTTTAAAATTGTTGCAAAGGATGTAGATGATATTGTACATAGTGATAACTTCTATGTCGAGACCCTGTTTCAAATATAAAATTAATTCAGTATTTTAATAATTGATCATCGAATTTTCATTGTGAAGCAAAGCATAAGTTAACAATCGAAATTAATACTAATTTTTGTATTTTTTGATAAATTTTGTCAAATGTGACATCAATGGTGCGTTATAACTTATAGACTTTTGAGATTTAAACCTTAGGACACTACAGTAGCCTGATTTTGTAAAAAAAAAAATCGTTGAATAGTCAATAAATAATGACTGTCGTTAATAATATATGTATAATGTACTTGGCGTATGTACTTTTTTGTAATAACAATTTAGCAATAATGTTACAATTTATCATGACGGTAATAATAACGTTAGAGATTAGGAAAATTAAAAAATAACTTTGTATGATTACGCATACTTTACAAAATGATTAAAATTTAAAAACTAAAAATATTAATACAATATATATATCAAGTTTTCTGACTCTCACAATTTAAAAATCAATATATAAAAACCTATGTATTCATGTAATATACATTAGTATACAGGCAAATAAAGTCAATGAGTTGGTTATAGTTTAACAATATACATACAATACTAATTTGATTTCGAACAATTACGAACAATTCCGAGTTTACAAAATGGTTTATCTAACATTGACACAAAAGAAAAATTGGTAAACTTCCATTTTCGAGCTTATATACATTTTATGTTTAATATTAAAATATGTATAAATACATATAATAATAATAATAATAATAATAATATTAGAGAAAAACAAGACCAGGATCGGAATTTATAATGTGGAATCGTGGAGCACTCCACACTCAAAATTTAACTTAATGAGAAACTACACAAGAAATAAAAAAGATAAAAAATAAAATATGATGCAAAATTAATTAAATAACTTGCTCAACTTGATTACATATCCATAAGAATGCAGCGAAAGACATAAATAATAATTAACTTTGGAGCAACGAATTAATTCATAATCATGAATCGATGGAGAGCGTATTAAGTTTTGCAATTGCGAATGGCATTATGATTACAAGTAATAAGTAAAAACAGAAAAAAGGTCACACCCAACAAAAATATGCTACCGATAAGTGGGAAATTCTTTTTAGCATTTCCTTTAAACAAAAACTTTTACACAAATCCGGCGCGTATATTTATAACACGTATTTATCTATAAAAATAAGGACACATAAATTATATATACGACAAAAATATTTTCTACAAAAAACTCGAATAGTTTTTTTAAATAAAAGGATACAGGATTTGTTAAAAGAAATTTGTCATTTACGTGCTACTTATGTAAGTCAGTATATGCAAACATTTTTCTAGTGAGAATTGCAATATTAAATCCAGCACTTTATGGTTATACGAAATTTCTTTATTGTATGTAGAATATCTTCTTAAAATTGTATGTAAATAGAAAATCTTCTGACGTACCATTAACACGGAACCACTAAACGACAGATTTTTTTTTTTAGGTACATCATTGCGTAATCTGACCTATTTCGTTCTCCCCTCTTTGGCCAAAATTCTTATACACACAGGCAAGTTAAGCACCGAGCTTGAATAAGATCGTTTATATGAATACATCAAAGAAATACAAGAAACGTTACGTACAGTCAAAGTCAGAGATGGTAATACATATTATATTATAAATATATGTATTTTAAATAAATTTATCTCAGAAATATTTCTCGACCAAGATAATATATTTAACAATAAATTATTTTACAAGCTTTAAGCTTCTAATTAAATTTGAGGTATTATTAATATTTCAGATTGATTGTGTTGAAAGTTTAGAAGTAATCGGCGCGTAGTCATATTTTTAAGATAAATTCATTTAAGCCATTCATACATGTATTAGAGTTTAACATCTAACTTTGTACTGTAAGTATAGACGCTTCTTTTGTATCATTTTTATGTAAAAATACCTATGTATTAAACATGAGATGTGCAATATGAATACTGATAATGGAAAAAGGGGTGATGCAAATACAGATAACGAATATAAAACTACTATTTCTACCATGGAAAAAAGGGTGTAAATTTTCTTAACGCGATTTGTATGACATTTATGAAAACAATGGATATGTTGATATAAGATCATTTTATTCATTTTTTATAATAAATATTATAATAAATGTTCAGAAATATTTGCTCTCTAAATTCGTTAGAGTAAAATATTCACTTTAATAAATTTATAAACAGAGCGTTTATATTAATTTTGTAAATATATTTCGTAAATATCATTTATATTTCGTAATATCATTTATATTATCAACATTACAGATTATATCCATGTTTCGATAATTTTTAAATTTTATCAATTGTTTGATTTTTTGATCGATTTTATTAATGGCAATCATAACTCATCATATGTTCATCGGATCGTTACAATTATCTGAGCAATAACAAACAAAATTGTGCGATCGTTTATCTAAAACCGAAATTAATGAAAGATTGATTTTTACAACGGGATTACATCACTGCACCGAAAATTTACGATGCGGTTCTGCAGAGCGACATGGCAATCTGTATCTTTGCGTCATTTAATCGTCTGCGTAAGCTCGACGTAATATAGGCGACATCTTCTCCTCGTCTTCGACTGCATGTAAACACATTTTAAACGAACGGGTGGGAAATCGACGTCTCCCGAAGCATCATCGTCGTCGTTGTCGTCGTCGGTGATGGTGGTGGCGGCAACGCCGCCGTGCCATGCGTCTCTCGGTCTTGTTAGTCAAATCGCGATCGTCGTTGCGTGATCATTCCGTACGTTACACTTGATATACAAATCTCGGCACGCGTGAATCAACCTGCGTACGAAAATAAACTTCATCGAGAAGTAAGCAAAGATTGGCAACTTGTTCCGATTACACGCTCTTTGCCAAGATATTACGTTTTGCAACTTTATAACTATCTTTCTTTTATATTCTTTATAGATCCATACTAGAGAAGAAATACATAAATTAAGATTTTAACTTAATAATTAAACACTATGTAAACTGTTGTATATATATGAATATACATACATATATACACACACACACACACACACACACACACACACACACACACGCACACACGCACACACACACAGTGGCAGAAGAGCGTAGTCAACAGTTCTCTGAAAGAAATTGAGTATATTAAAAATTAAAATTATATTTTAAAGTACATTATACAGTCACTAAAATGCATTTAGTTAGTTATGGCATCTATAATAATCTGCATTATTATCATTAATTATAACTTGGCATCATGCATTCCACGACATGCTTTTATGAAATTTTCACAAATGTAAGAATGTCATATATCAATCGATTGATTGGCCTCCTCGATGTTGGATGAGATTGGATTAAAAATATCCGATCAATTACAAAAATGAAGTTTTGAGAAATACGAATATTTATTTTGGAACGGTTATCTTTGGCATATTCGGAAGATTTGAAAGTTTTTACCTAAAACTGCAGTTAAAAATCTCGTAGAAAGCTTCCGACGAAAAGTTATAATTAATAATAATGATAATTAAGTACCATAACTAACTAAATGTATTTTAGTAAATTTAATGTATTTTTAAAGCACAATTTTATTTTTTAATACACTCGATTTCTATCCGAGAATTGCTGATTATGCTCTTTCTATGTATAGATGCAGGGTGTGTCATATAATTTGCATTTTAAAAAACTTGTAAACTATAAGTTGTATGACAAACTTTTATGCATAATAGTTTTTCGTACAACTTACAGTTTACAAGTTTTTTAAGGTGTGCAAATTGTATGCCTCATCTTGTATATACAGGGTGTCTTATTTTAAATAATGCATTAAGATTTCCCCCGAAAACTGTGGTACGGAAAAATATTTATTTCACAAACAAAAGTTGTATGGTTTAAAGGGAGACATAAGAAGGTACTATTGATTTGACCTTTGATAGCGACATCAAGATCAGTGCAAGAGCACTTTGAATTTTTTAATGAAATCCCCAATTTTTATTGCATATTTTTGTAGCTTACCTCGAGAGCTTTTCACTATAATAAACTATTTTTTCATTAAGTACTTTTTGAGTTATAAGATTTGAATTTAAGTTATATATCGGGCATTTTTAGGTTCAAATATCTAAACCTGATGTGATGGAGAAATATAGGCTGTAGATTTGAAATTAGCGTAAGAAGATCTATGAAAATTATCTATTAGGTTTTATAAATGAGTCAACATAGTGTAATGAAAAAAATTATACATATACATATTGCAAGTATGCTCACCGCATTTAACCGAACTCTGAGTCACAAATGGAAATACATATAGCAGTTACCAACTTCGTATTTTTTATTTGAATATTTTTTATTTCTTTTATTTTTAATTTTTTATCTGAATTTGGCTAAGTGCCGTAAGTAATATTTGCAACATCTAATTTTTTTCTATGTTGATTCATTTATAAAAGTTTTACCTTATAAGTAATTTTCGTAAATGTTTTCATGCTGAATTCGAATCTGCAATCCTCTATTTCTCTATCGCATCATGTTTATAAAATATTCGAACTTAAAAATGTCTAAAATAGGTCTTTTCGGAAAAATTTAAGATTAAAATATCTCGGAAATCTAACGTGACAAAAAATAAATTTACGAATTTGGTTTTAACAAAAACAAATTGTGCCATTTTTAAAACACAAAATATTTTTTGCTTTTGTAGGCTTATGTTATTATATGTATGTAATCGTGTACATTTTAAAAAACAAACTTGTAATAATAGAGTTTTGAAGTATATTTAAAAAATTTATTTGTTGTTTAATGTATACTTTCTTAAATTTTGATAATTTACAGTTATTTTCAAATTAAAATTACAAAGAACATATCGTAAGATATAATCATTAAAATTCTGTGTTTTTTTAAATATCAAAGTATTTTAATATTGTCAATGTTTCTCTACATATCAGTCAAATCTTATTAAATCCCTTTAAACAGGCTTAAATTACTGTGCAACGCGTAGCATTGGATCTGCGAAGAAAGAAGAAAAAAAAGATATTTTTTGTGATATTCACAATCTATCAAAGACATTATCGACTTCGATGATAATGAAGCCATGGATGTTACTGGCTTTTCTAACCACCATAGTGTTATGCCACGAGCCGTTTCAAGTAATCTTTGAATGGAAGTTGATTGACTTCGAGTGGCCGTCGGAGGAAGATCGGCAGTATGCCGTAATGCGCGGTGATTACAAACCAGCGAATAATTTTATCACCACTGCGAAATTTTGGAAAGATAAAATGTATTTGACATTACCACGATGGAAAGACGGCGTGCCGGTGACGTTGGGTATGACATCGGCAAAACCGATTAACAGCATTACAGCACCTAAATTAGAGGCCTTCCCCACCTGGGATATGCAGAAATTGGGTAATTGCACGGCATTCCAACTGGTTCACAGCATGGAAATCGATGTTAAGGGTCACATGTGGATACTTGACACCGGTCGACCCACGTCTCTCAGAGAATCCAAAGCCGACTGCTCGCCGCGTCTTGTCATTCTTGATCTCGAGGACAATAATAAGATCCTTCGTACTTATGAGTTCCCCGAGCACGTAGCTCGCCGCAAAACTGCATACCTCAATGACATTGTTCTCGATCATGAGGATGGTGGTATGGCATATATTACCGACACTGATACTACTGATCCTGGCATCATTGTGTATTCTTTAAGAGATAATAATTCTTGGAAGATCCGACACGATTCTATGAGAGCAAAATCGGAGGCAGTCGGATTCATGGTAGCAAAGACGCATGTAATCAATCCAGTGCACGTGGATGGTATAGCGCTTTCACCTGCGAGTAGTAGCAACAGGTAAGGTAGATCTTCAGATTAATGTTTTTGATAAAACTGCAGAAAAGGAGAGCAACTGCCGATGATCTCGACCTTGATATATGTTGTTAAGAGGCGCGTCCAACTTTCCACGCGAAGCGAGTTCCACTCCACCTTCCCCCATGCCAAGGAGCACACGATTTTGACACATAGGAAAAATGGGATGGAACTCCCTTTACATGAAAAATCGGACACTCCTTGGCAAGGCGGGGGTGGGATGGAATTTAACTCCCTTCGCGTGCAAAATCGTGTGCCTCTTGACAGGGGGAGGTGGGGTGAGATTCGCTTCGCATGAAACGTAATGCGCTCTTTTGTGGAAGGGAGGAGGTAGGGTGAGATCAGATGATATAATACTTGCTTCGCGTGAAAAATTGTATAAATATCAACACCTGGTGCTAAGTTAAATTCTACAAAATTTTATGTATCATTCTCATAAAAGATTTGATATCAGCAACTGGCATCAAGATAAATCCCATATACTAATCATACCAAATTAAATAAAGAATATAATCCAAGTGACTCTATCTTTATTTTTCATTTATAGAATGAAATCGAAGTATATCGTTCTATGTATTCCTATTAAAGAATCTTGCTATTCCGATTCAAATGGTTTTAATTCTTTCTTTTGTATACATGACGTTTTTATATTGTAAAAAGAATTCGATCAAAAACATTTACTCTTCTAATCAAAATATTTAAGTATAGGGATATTTCTTAAGAAGAAGTAACCTACTATTACTTGGGTTGGACACTTAAATTTTATTCGAGAAGCGTGTTAAGTTGTGTCCCTTTTTTGTAAAGGTAAGTTTGTACTGATATCACGCATTTTATAGTGGTGAATGTCTTCCTATGAACAGTTTACCTGTACATTTTTTGTAACATGTGTACTGAAAACATACTTTCAACCTAGAACAATTGTAATTAAAATAACCGCAAATATGACTCACGTATACGGTTGATGATGTGTAGAAATACATAATTCGAATATGCACACAAAATTTAGTTGTGTATATTAAGTTAAAACAAAGATTTGCTTTTTATTCTGACTTTTTTTCGAGGAAATTTTATGATATTCTTTGAACGTTATAAATTACATTTTTTATTATGTTATTTTTTTTTTTAGTATATCATACGTGGCTTTTGAGTAATAAATTTTTCTAAAATTTGTGATGAGTACATATTTTAAGATTATTATCAAAATATAAAAGAAAAATAGATAAATTAAAACAAAACAGAAAAATTGAAGAGCTAAGAGCCAGTTATGTAATAAAGAACGTTTAATTTAAAACATAAAGATAAAAACAATTATAAACGTTTCGACACCGATTGGATCATTCTCAATGTTACAGTAAATACATTATTATAAAATAATTGGAAATCTACACTATTGCTTCATAGTGGTATTCTCGTTTTTTCTTCCTATTATCATAATGTTGCAAGTCAATAAATTAAATTTGTTTATACTGATAGAGCCTTATTTCTATATCATTATGCAATATTAAACGAGGTATTAATTTTTAAAGATCGCCAAATAAGCTCGTGTCTGATATGTGCACGTTCATCGATCGTTAGCGCGCAGCGAGTGAGAACTGCCTGATGTGATGAGCGCCCCGCGCCGCACGCACTGTGCGTCGTCGCGAGCCGAGCCTCTAACCGTCATGACTCGACAGCGTAGCGGCACACTTGCCAGGCCATCCCCGCTCCTCGCGACTCGTGCGTGAAGGGCGTATACTTGGCAGTAGTAGGTCGAGCGAATACGTTTTTTATTCGGTTTTAAAAATTTATATTTCGTTAACTATTGCGAAAATTTTGTAAAATAATAGAAAACTTTTCGACTCAGTCCAATCCGCTTTACCTGCTTATGACGGGTGATTTCGTACACAGAGAGAAGAAATGGTTGGAATATAACCATAATTTAACTATAATTTATAGTTATTTTTTAGGATAACCCAAATAAATTTATAATCGTTTTGACTATATGAATTACAGTAACCTAAACACTAAATTATGTGATCATAAAGATCATAATATTATATATTCTTTAATTATTGTTATCACATGTAAATAGTAAGCGAATATTGAAAAAATGGTTATATTCATTGTAATTATGATTGCAGTTACTACATAAAAATGATTATTCTATTTACCATCCATATTTCCATACTTTACTACATTATAATAATATTATATATTATAATAATATTATAATATTTGAAATTATCATAATTTATAGTACAATTTTTGTACCGTTTGATAGAACTATACATATAAGGTTATTGTTACTAACATTATAGCAATAATAACTATAAAAATGATGCTCCTAACCATAATTATTTTACTACATAATTATATTCACAAATGCAATATATTTTTCTCTTAGTATAGGTTCCAGACATCCTGATAATGAATGTAAAATATTCTACAATAAACCTTTTTCCATGAAAATTTATAATAACATTTATAATAAAATTAGATGATTATATATTATCATCAATCAAGGTTATAACTCTGCGAATGACTATTGGATTTCAGTAATCACCCGTTGCTCGTTAAGAAGTTTGTTAATAAGTAATGTAAAAGTTAAGATTGTCGTCTATCGACAAAAATTCGAAATGTATAATACACAGATCGGGCAGATGAGACGACGTTAATTATAACGTTTAATATAGTAACAATATTCCTTAAATTTTAAACACAAAATTTAGAGTTTGCAGCAATATTTCCGCTCATAAGACACATAGAAAAAAAATGAAGGTACTTTTAATATATAATTGGAGTAAAAACTATCGATTAAGCATACATAGAATTTGATCGGTACGATCGGATATATACACGATCGATCTCGCACTATTGCTAAACGCTTTTTTTTTTTTAACACCGAGACTACCATATCTCTGGATATTAAAAGATGAAAAAAAAATAAGAAGTTACTTCTTAAACTTTTTTATAATAATTTTTTAAGGAATAATCGCTACCTAAAACATGTTGGAGGTCCCCTTTTCTGTAGTGACCGTGCTTTTTTTTACATAAGATTTTTTTTTTTCAAAGTCATTGGAAATATATTTCTTGTAATTTTCGCATTCTTTATTCTAATTCACATTTGCAAATAATTAAAATGTAGCATGCTTTGTCTCTTATTCATATTAAATAGCATGTAAATAAATGGAGAGTAATGCAGGAAAACGTTACTTTATAGGGACAAAGGCCTTGGCACATAAAAAACTTTAGACTTAAGACTTAAATAGTAAGGAAATCAACATATTGAATTCGTTACTGCTTACGTTATGGTTTTATGGTTTCTACTATGATTAGTCAATTCGCTTAATGCTTAAGTTTTTCTATGTGCTATGGCTTTAACAATGTTTTCATAAAATAGAGAATATCACAATATGAAATTTCACAAAATAAAGAAGCGGCTATGTCCAAATTAGCTTATATTACTTATCTATGATATTCTATTTTGTTTCTACTTTTGTTTATTCTCTTATATTAGCTCCTCTATAAGTTTTTGTCTTCTAACAAAAGATCTTATAATATAGTAAAATTAAAGTTATTAAAATCGTCTGTCATTGTAGTAACATTTTTCTATATTAAAAATTTATATTTTTGTATAACCTTCTAACAAACGACAATTGAATTTGTTTCAGACAAATCTATTATTCACCTTTATCTTCTTTCCATCTGTATTCGATTCCGGTATTTGCTCTAAAGAACAATATGACGAATATCGATCAATACGTGAAGGAACTTGGACGGAAGACTTCGCAAACGGACGGCATGGCGATGTCGTCTACTGGCGTACTTTACTTTGGTTTACTAGCTGACGATGCTATCGCTATGTGGGATACTAAGAATACACCCTTTACCGTCGGTCAACGAATTATATCGCGCGATCACGTATTGACGCAGTGGCCTGACAGTTTCGCATTTGATGAAGACGGTAATTTTTGGTGTGTCACCAATATGCTACAAAATTTCTTAAATAATCGCGTTGATATCAACATGCCTAATTACCGTCTCATTCGATCACGTGTAAATGTTAAAAATTATCAATACTATGAGAACGGCACGGCGCCCGAATTTCCAGATTACATCGCTGGTGCTGATTTCATCACACCCATACTCGCCGCGTTATTGCCTACCATTTTTATACTTATCGTGAAGTAACCACTTCATGACAAAATTTTGTTAAAGATATTTATGTTGTGTATACGAAGAAACAATTTACGAATATACGCCAAAACTGTCAATCATATATTAATTGATGGCGTCTCGTGGAAAATTTAACGCCTATCTCGTAACGTAACCAATCAGAGTAACCAAACGTACATAACAAAAAACACATAATGCGTGATCGCAAAACTAATCAGGCACGATAAATGACATTTGTTACATGAAAAATCTGTATCATGGGACCATAGAAAATATTGTTCTTTTTTACAGTTTATTCGATAAATAAAGAGAAACGTAAGATCTGACAACAGGATAACACTATATGTATAGAGAAATACAGTTTGATTTTATTATATAAAAGTATGACCGATTACCTTACATCATTGCTAAAATCAAAATACTTTTATACGATTTAAAAAATTATATTAGTTTATAGCAAGAAATTACTTCGAATCAGACGAGGTGATTTTTTAAATAGATTTCTGAATATTGAAAATGCTGTAAGCCAATTTTTCAGTACATACATCAGGTTTTCAAAATAATTGAGATTTAAATACAAAAAATGACTTTTTTGCGATACTTGACATTTTTTGTAAAAAAGGTTAATGTTATCTTGACATTCTGAGTAGCAATCATGTTACTTTTTTCTTACAGCGGAAACGTGAAAAATGAACATTTTTTATATGTGTGTGTATATATGTGTTGTCAAATAAGTCTCATTCGAAACAAATTTTACTTAAAATTACTTTGTTTATGAAATATTCGACTGTATCAGATTTTTGGATCACCTTGTATATGACTTCATCATAGGCGGAAAATTTGTTATTTCTTAGAAAAGCCCTATACTTAAATTATTTTTAACACGGCACAAAATAAGATATCAAAATTAAAAAATGTATTTTATAGAAAAAACAATATATTTATGACTTCTGTGAGAATTTCAAGCTTACGTTAACATTTTTTAATAAGAAAGAATATCAAATATAGCAAAAAAGCTGTACATTACAATTTTTGTACATTAATTTCAATTACTTTGAAAATTTGACATATCTGGTGAAATTAAACTTGCAGTATTCGTTTTCAGCATCTGAAAGTTTATGAGGAATATCTTATCTGGTACATAATAATTAAAAAAAATATTTATTTAACTAATGTTAGTAAATACATTCTATATTATTATATTATATTGTATAATAAATATATTGTAATACGTAGTTAAAAATATTGCTATCACAAAAACACCAAAGAGTAATAAGCACGAATTGGGATTAAAACTGAATATGGTATTCATCTGAAGCATGAAAATAATTTTCTTGTTTCGAAAGAATCTATAGATTCTAAACCTATAGGTTTTCAAACCTATAGGTTTGATTCACTGAAATGCCTTCAACTACTTGTTAGTTATTGATAAATAATAATTATTCATTCTAAGAATTCTGAAATTTGTATTAATAATTTTCTTTTATTTTAAGTAAGATTTTTTCAATAATTTTATTAAACTTTTTCATTCTTCTTTTTAATTTCAAAATAATAACTAAGACCAGTTTAATTTCAAAATAATAATTAAGACCAGTTTTACTTGCAAATAAAAATATTATTGATAATAATTGCTTAGTATTGTTGCAAGCATTACTACACGTAGAAATCTTTTGTCTTTTGCATGCTTTAGAAGTGAAGCGACGATTCTTTTGCTGGCAATGCAGTTGTTTATGACAGTTCTATGTGTCAACGTTTTACATTTTCAATAAAGATGTTTTTGTGTTTTTTACGTGAGTTTTTATTACAATACACGGGTTCTGTTTGTATCCTCTGCGTGCGAAATATTGCCGTAAATGCGCCATGCGTTCGGAGTGCAACAATATTTTGGTATAATATTTAAAAAATTTAGTAACAAGTATATAAAGAAATATTATCCAAGATATATAGAAGGTGGTTTTTTCCGTCCATGAGGTTATTCTGGCAAATGATAATGTTTGTGTTTTAATCGTATATTTAAGACTTGTCATATTTTTAGGAAATATTATAGTTGTGTTTGAGTAAAGTAGTTGTTAGCATCGTAAAAGTAAGCTAAATACGTTCTTATTTCTATGGTCATTTCTGTAACGAAATCTTCATTTTCGAGATTTTATATACAACGTTATTTGTGGACATATATGGACAATGATCTTTATGAACCTTGATGAATTCATTTAATTTATATTAGTACTGTAAAACGATACTCTCACATCCTTTGTTGAATTGAGTGAATGAATTTTTCAGACATTGAAGCAACATTTAGTACCGTAAACACATAACAATTATATTTGATAGTGGTCTCGACGAAAATTTAGAGGTGTGTCTATTTAACAAATATTTTAAGCAATTGTGAATAGTATGGAAAATAAAAAATCGAATGGATAGTCATTATGTAAAATTAAAGTATCTATCCGAAAATGTGAATTTATGGTATCGATAAAAAATGATATTATTGTTAATGAATGATACGTTATATGGAAATAGTTATATATGTATATGAGTAGTTTTTGAGAAAGTATGGTGATGAGGACTCATTGATAGAATGAAATCAAGCAGACACTGTAACTATGCGTAATATCCCATGTATAAACTGAAATCTAAGAGTGCCTCATTCTCAGCATCTAATTACTTGGACAACAAACGGTTTTAGTGGAATATAAATTCCATCGAGTGTATAATAAAATAACACAATTTGAAGTGATTCTGACGTGATAAAAAAACGGCTTTATTGACATCCCTCCTTTTTAGCAATGTTTATTGTAAAGTCCGTATGAGATTATGGATTGACAATTGTTATACTTTTCTGTTCATTCTTAATGTTTACATTCAGTTGAATTTGGTATTTATCGCATATAAGTTGAACATCGCAATGATATTGTACATTTTTTTGTTATAATTAATAATTTAACAAAAAAGAGAAATAAGAAAAAGGAGAAAAACGTAACTTTAATATAATAGATAATATCATCCATGATATCACAAATGAATTCAGAGCGAATGAATGCATTACATTCCATTAACTTTGTGCCTAAATTTTTTTTATGTAAAACTTTACAAACGAATGAATTTAAATGTGAATCGAATACTTCTAAACGCTGACAAATATTTTATTTACGTATATTACAGTACGTTGAATTAACAACAATTATCTGTTGAATTAACAACAATAATTTGCATCTTTATTGATCAACTATATTTTTAATATAAATACGTATATTACGACATTATTTATGATACTCATCGTAGAAGTATGAAAATGTAACTAGAAAATGTGTTGCGTAAATCTAATTAAATTATCTGAACTCTATCAATATTTATGTTCATACACAGATAACATTTTAATTAATATATTTTTTTACATTTTTTTAGATCTCTTAAAAGTTTTTGATGAAAATTTTTCTCAGAATTTTTTATATGGTTTTTCAGAACTTCTATATAAATTTCTAAAGTTTCCGAAATTTCTGTATAATTTTATAATTTAAAAAAATCCAGATTTTTTTAATAGGAATTAAAACATATTACATAAGAAAAGATCTGTATACATCTTTTCTAGAATATCTTATGTATACAAATTTTGAACTATGTATTTTTTAAAATTTTTAAGCTTTCTCATTTTATAAAAAAAATTTCCAAAGATAATTTACAAAATTAAAAAAAAAATTTTTATAATAAATTTGAAGTATGAAGTACTTTAAAAATACTTTACCAGAAAAATATAAGAATTTTTCATTTATATACAGGATTTATGAACTCATTATTAAGTTCATGTTAATTTTCTTTATGTGTGTATATAATACATTTATTAATATTACTATATCATTATTAAGATTATGAAATCATTATTGTTATTATCATAATTTCATTATTGTTGTATTATTATTATTATTATTATTATTAATAGAAGTTGAATATATGAAAAGAAATATTTCAAATAAAATAATTACTTCATAAAATGTCATCCTTGTTTTATTACTTGGTAGTCAGTAAATAAATATATTCTAGAATGTATTGCAATGCTGTCCGTCGATGGGATATTTCGTTTGCGCTTTTATCAAATGAGTCATGCCTCGTTTTTCTCTCTAAGGATTCAATTCATTACATTGTAAATAGGGTCATGTGCATTACAAGCATTCATAAGCGATACTCTTCTCACAATCAGAACGAGAACTTTATTCGAGATCTCCGCTGCCAAATCTAGCTTATGAGTACATTGTGCAAACGGTTAAATCTAAATGTAGACGCGGTCCTTGTTTTTTGTTTTATAATTTCATTCTCTAACTGGTGGCTGTTCTGGTTTACGAAATCTCAGTCACTAATATACATGCGTGCAAGCATAGTGCATTCTGGTATAAAAGTGGAACAATGAATACACTACGAGGACAATTGTGGGAAATCGTCTCTTGCAGTCTTTCAGTTTCTTTTTATAGCAAATATTTATCATATAAAAATAGATTTATATAAATGATGTTTATTTTCGTAATTGTTATTAATAAGTCGTGTATGCGCGATAATAAAAAATGGATAAAAAATTTATTCTACTTCTATTGTGACAAAAGATGTATCAAAAATAAATCTCAGAAACGTTTTAGTGCTGTTTCTTATTATATTTCTTTCTTTTTCAATATTTTATTTAATAATTATTTGGTTTAGGTTTGAATTATTTTATTTTTTTTATTATTTAAACAATATTCAAGTAACGTAACGTCACAGTCACAGTGAAGTCGAAGCCGATGTAAAACTAGAGAAATGTGTGTCAAGTCATCTTGATTTTATGATGATAATCGAGTGTTACTTGATTATACATACGTATTAATCACATATAAAAAAGACAAACTTCTTTTTACCTTCAATATCGTAACCATTACATGAATAATATTTATTTTTTCGATATTCAGTATAACTATATACAATATATTCACAAATACATTTTCATAATCATTTTAAAATTAATTTCAAGTAATTTATTTCTGGGTGTAACCCTGACACGTGGAATGCGTCACACGTTTCATTTATATGTATATATGTATCGCTAGAAAATAGACATTTGTGTGGCCTGCAAGATTTTGTATTACCTATATTTGAAAATAGTCTTTAAGAAAAATTACATATCATTGTCATATATAAGTCATTATCAATTTTGCTTTTTTTACAACAGTGGATAATACACAAAAGAAACAAGCCAATTTTACATATCCTAGAACGATAAATTCTTTTGTAACGACATCACGTTTGTCAAAAGATTTGATGTGACTCAAGAGAGAGGATTACATAACCTACTTACATTTAGTGTCATACATGTTTCACCTTGGAATCCCTCTTCACACGATTATTCTCGTTACGGGAAACAGCCTCTTCATACGCACGTACCACCTCTACTCACACGTGCGCACCATACATGGAACATAACAACGTAAGTCGTAAGTAAACGGAAATGTGTTCATGACATCACGCCATCATATTGTAAAAAATGACAACGCAGATAGATATGCTCATTAGAACATAAATTGAAACTTGTTATAAACCATAAAAAGAATGTAGTAAGATATGAAATTTGCTTCCACACCAAATTAGGTACTTATATATATATGCTACACATCGATTATTAGGACTTCGTGAAAGAAATATATGTATTTTCAATCAGTCTTAATAATCTGCTATCCTCATTGCAATGATGTTAATTATAAAAAATATTTTTAAAAAAATATTAATATTAGTCTATATAAATCTAGACGAATTATCCATTTGTAAAATATATTAATAAATTGTTAATCCGAAATAAATTACAAGTCTCGTAAATTTTGATTTTTCTTATAAAATAAATGAAATTATTTACAATTTAAAAGAAATGGATCTCAAAAATAAGATACATGTAATACATAAAAGTAAGATACGTAATAATATTTTATTATTTACAGCGATCACTGTACAGGGCAGTCACTGTACATAGCGTTCACTGTACAGCGCGGACACTATGTATGGTATGTACATATAAAATTCAAAATATTCGAAAAAATTAATTAACAATATCTATACATACATAAAAGAGAATATATTAGAAGGTACGTAAATAGTTAAGTTAATTTATTATTAAATAATTAAGTTAAATAATTGATTAATTAAATTAAATATTTACGTATTAGTTATATTGCTAAATATTTAACTTCTGCGCAAAAATGTAAAAAAAATATCATATTTTTATTTTTTAACATTGACGCTTATTTTCAAAAAGTATGAAATAATGTAAAATGAATAAATATTGGAAGAATATCGTGACAAAGAAAATGAAGTTATAATTAGTCACTATATAACTTCATTTAAATATTGATAATTTTAAAATTCTTGAAATTTTGATAATTCGAATTCGTTATTGTGGTATAGCGTTGTATCTAGAGTTCCTATAACAGATTCTGAACACTGCATTTGGACACATGCTCGTCCGCCATTAACAGTCGAAACCGGAAATGTATCACGTGTTTGCCGCGCAAATGAAACTGAGTCTGAAGTGAGCTAAGTACACAATATGTATGTATGTATGTATGTATGTATGTATGTATGTATGTATGTATGTATGTATGTATGTATACATACATACAAATGTATACATATGTGCATACAAATGTATACATTTGTGCGCCAGGAAAGTTGACTGTTAATCGCGGAACCAATCAGCAATCGTTACAGTATTGTCTACACTCTGTTATAGGAACTCTAGTTGTATTTAGTCGGGAATTCGGGATGACAGACATCATAACTTCTAGAGTTTCGAACTTTAACGCTTAATAACTCGTTTCACGAGACCGATCGCCGCATTTTTTACCAGATTCTTTTGTTTTAAGTGAAAACTTGTTGAATGAGTACATTTTTATTAAAATTTTATAAGGGAAGGTATTCTAAATACCACAATTTATAAAGTAGTGGAAGCAGCCATCTTCTTATTTTTTAACCAAAAGTCTGACAAAAAATATACATGGTCAAAAGTTTTTTTATTAAAGATAAAAGAAGGCTCGCAGATATATACCTATTATAGGCGAGGGTGACGATCGAAAGTTTTAGCGTTCTAGTTGTTTAAGGCTACGGTCCATTTAATGTCATAAATGCTTTAATGCTTTAATTTTTTTATTGATCGATTAGTAAAATTCTTTCTTCTGATTGGCCAATTAAAAACTTCGAAGCACATTTGTAGCGTTAAATGGACCGCACTTATAATAGACATAATTCGTATCCGAAAGATACAGAATAGGGCCGGTTCACCAACAGTTGCTCTAATCGGGATTAATCATAATTGGTCAATTCGACTTAAACAGTAAATGCGATTGGTTAGTTAATGGTCGATTAACTGGCATTGGTCCTAAGGTGGATTAAAGGTATAGATACAATAGAAGGAATAAGGAATAAGAAATTTCAACCAGAAAGAAATTTGAGAAAGGACATGAAGGCCTTTTTTCTGGAACCATAAAATGCTGCTGCGCACTACTTATACCCTTTGAAAAAGTAAATGTTAAAATAACTAAAATCTATCAAATTAATAAAAAGATTTTAACGATATTTCGGCGATTTATTTCTACTATAGGAGCGTCATAAAAAAGTGCATATTGTTGTGTAGTTCACATCCACTTCTTTAGAGGATGGTAATGCGCAAGGCATTTTGCTGTTACAAGTATGATTAAAGCTGACATGTCTCCTCTAAGGTTTCTCTTTGTTTAACCTATTAGAGATACTATTACGTATTGTTGTATTATGATGTATCTGATTTTTTATAGGTTGAAATCTCTTATTTCTTCTATTGTATCTACACCCTCAATAAGCAAAAATAAATCATTGTCTGTCTTTTGTACGTAGCCATTGTTTTCTACTCATTCAGTTGCGGCAGTAACAATTATTTAAATTTTGACCACATTCAATTGAAAAGTAAATTCATAATGTGTAAAGTAATAACAAAAACAATTTAAATTGATTACCAACTATTTTAAAAAATGTAACTAAGTTACAGTTGGAAAAAAGGATTAAGTTACTGAAAAAGGTCATATACGGTAACTTTAGTTATGAGTAAATAGTTACTTCTCAATCCTGCAAGTTATTCATTATTGGATGGGTGATCGCTTTGAAATACTGTATGCTGACATATTTTTTTTAATTTTTTCTACATAACGAAATATACATTGCCTTATTTTCCTGTGGATTATTATCAATGAATCATAATTATAACAATTACAATAAACGAAAACGTTTTATATAATTTATGTTTATGTAGAAATATATTTTTTAGTTACCCCTCTCTCTTTCACTATATATTTCTTTTATAAAAGGAGATATATTTAAATGTATTAAAAAAAAGATAGAAACCTTACGGACTTAACTAAAATTATAACTTACGAGTGTTTATCTTAATAATAAATTCTACATCTATCTGGGAACTCTAAACATCAAACAGAAATTAAAATGATATGCTAAATTATCTTCTTAGTTACATAATCCAAACGTTAAACCAAAATGTATATAAGTATAATTAATTCATAAAAATAATAACCATTATATAAATAATATTCATTTTTGTGTATTATGTATATATCGATAACTAAATTATTTATAATGTATAGTGAGAAAAAAATATAATCGTTTAACATGTACTTTTCGTTTATACTTTTTTGACACTTGGATTTATCTTAATGGGATTGCAAAGGTATCAGAGTATAACGATAATGTTTTTTTTTTACCCAATTTTACACATTTACATTTTTGTTAAAGCCACTGATTCAAGCAATTCAACAAATAATACAATTCGGTTTTTCTTGTACATTCCCATTGGCTTTCTCGATCTCCTTTAGTAATGTGTGAAAAATATCTGCAACAGACTATGGAAAATACGTTTAACAAAAATATCGCAGTATACTTTGAGATTTGAAAAGCATCTGTAGATATACCTCATTTTGTTTTGCACTAGTTTCTAGAAATGCTGCATTCCAAGAGTTTGCTAAACGTTTTCCTTGGTCTGTCGTGATCATACGATCAACATACAGGTCTGTTTTATTACCCACTAATACAATCGGAACACTGTAAAAACGAAGATATTCAATATTTATATGTATTGCATGAATAAACATCAAATAAATATTGAGTATTTGAGAACATGGATACTTACTGGAGTTTTCCAGTAATGTCGAGTAATTTGTCATAAATAATTTGTACGATCTCAAAACTCTTTGCACTGGTTATGCTATATACCAGAACATAGCCATGAATATCCATCGAATACTGAGTAGGAAATATACTATATTCATCCTGACCAGCTGTATCTACTAACTTGAGTTCATAATCTTGACTATTTACTCGTGTACTTTTTGTGAATGCTGTAACATGCGAAAGATTTACTGTACTTTTAAGTTGTTTAATGCATTCACATTTTTATAAATTTTATAGATTCATATAATAAAATAAAATAATGAACTAGTGAACAAGAAAAATATTTCTTACTATTTTCTATTGTAGGATCATACGAGTCTACAAACTGTCCCTCGACAAATTGTATACTAAGGGATGATTTACCTATCAAAAAATTAAATATATATTATATATATATAAATACATATTTACGTAAATATACAAATATACCTTTAATTATATGTACAATGTTAATCATTTTGCAAAAATTTTAATTTATATCCCACAGTATTTACCTATCAAAAAATTAAATATATATTATATATATATAAATACATATTTACATAAATATACAAATATACCTTTAGTTATATGTATAATGTTAATCATTTTGCAAAAATTTTAATTTATATCCCACAAATGTAATAGGTATAGACTGCACTATTCTATGAAGGTTGTAACTATTAGTTTAGAAAGAATGGATGTGTTCAGCAGAAAAAGCAGCTTTCCAACTGTTGTAAAATTCTTGAATATGATTGGCTTATACATTTAGATCTAATAAGAAAGTAAGGGCAAGACCAATCATTAAAAAATTTTACAACAGTTGCAAAGCTGCTTTCTTTGCTGAACGCAGCCAATGAATTAGCTAATTTACATCACATATATATTCTCTCTCCCCTCTCTTTCTCTCTTTATCTCTCTACAATATTAAATTAAAGAAATGCTATGATTCGATGATTCTGTTTCTTTTTTTTAACAGACTACAAATATCAAAATCAGGGAATGTCTATACCTATTATAATGTATCCATGCAAGACAGGATATCTATAACATATGTCTTACCTACGGATCTATAGCCCATAATAGCTATTTTCCTCTGCTTTGGTGGCATGTTGTAGCATTTACAAACTGAAAAGCAGCAAGAATGTTCAATGAAACCTGATGCATAATCCAGCTAAAACCTGTGAACAAGGAAATATTTTATTAACTATTAGGAACATTCTCTTTTCTCGCACTCATTAGCATCTCAAAATTGTATGACGGTAATGAATTTGTAAGATAGACATCTTACACTTAAAAAACTACCAAAAAAAAAAATGTTTTCTTTTAGGGTAAACTGTGAACTGAAAAAAAACAGTTGAGGCATTGCACAAATTAGTTTGAACATTTTGTTTAATTACATTCATATGTGTTTATGTAACAATATTCGCAATATTTATTTTTATTATTCGCGCTCGAGGACGAGTGTTTCAGTCTTAAGACGTTTTTCGAAGCAGTACGTAAATTCTACTCTGACAGGAAAGTAAATAATTTTGACGTTGTATCAATAATGCGCTATATACATTACATCCCCACAAGTCTGATCAATAACTGATGATAACGGATTGTTAATCTCATCACGATGTAAGAAGACATGATGGATCTCATGATCACTTATGTCGCGATGAAAAGGAAAAATTAAATAAATAAAAAAAGAAGAGGATACACTAGTGCACCTCAGAAGTGCGTCTTACATCGGTGCACAACATCCTTTAGATTACGAAGCGGTGAAGTTTCTCCGAACAGTCGTACATGAATTAACAGCACCCTCGTAGTTCGAACTTCGTGCCAGAGGAAAAATAACGTTCCGAACTACGCATCGTTTGATGCATGTAATGTATTACGGACGCACGCGTAGCGTAGCATATGTATATATGTATATATGATATGTATGTACGTATATACTATGTGCGATGTATGAAGTGGGAAAGACAAAGAAAGATAGAGGGATAAGAAAGGGAAAGAGAATGTGAAATGATGTCAATAGCACATATATACCCAATCATCACGTATGCTTCACGTTTGATCTGATCTGAAGTCCATCATTTCCGGATGACGCATTTAACAGTCAGCCACGTTTCGACAGTTCGATGGCCGTTACTGGTCGTTGATGATACGGGACGGGCGGGGACGGTCAGACCAGTGGCAGTCAACCAATATTGCTGTCGGGCAGTGCCGTTTGCCGTAATGTGAATCGTGAATTGTCGTGAATAGAGTACCCATGAGAATATAAAGATGTCATTACATAGGCGTGTCAAGCGTTCAGCGTTAAAGCATTGGGTGCATCCAGAAGTACGACCGCTCACTGAATGCTCATTAAGCTCTTTCATCTGATTGGTCTATATTTTAGAATTTAACGGAATGTGCCAATCATATGAAAGAACTCAGTAAGCTTTTTTTATCTGATTGGCATATTCCATTAGATCTAAAAATATAAACCAAACAGGCATGGTGGAAATATACAAAGTGAGTCATTGCGCATAATGGCGGAGACCCGAGATCTCAACCAATCAAAGATTGGGCAATTCGTCCGGCGCGAGTCACGAAGCTCATAAAGTAAAATAAACATGAAGAAATAATTATATCTATAAATAACATTATATTTCCCGAATTATCTTTCTTTTCTTATGCATTTGAGAAAAAAAGGTTGACATATAAGGAAACTTGTAAAGAACTTGTTCTATTCAATAATACATTTTCCAGAAAAAACAGGGTATCTACGGATTTGGACGGAGAAAATTCTTTGACATTCCCTGATTGTAAAAAAGTTCCTTGACTTTTTCGTAGTCTTTTCCTTTCCTATTTCTTCTCATAATTATTAAAGAATCTTTTCCAAGACAAAATGAATACCAAGTAAATGTAATATTAATTAAGAACTTATATGTAATACAATGATCTTCATTAGAATCAAAAATTTAGGAAATATGTTTTTTATAGTCGATAATATTTACACTGAACGTGTTCGTCAATTTTTATCACGTGACCTTTTTTGTCGCTGGAACGGCCAGTTTCAGCAGCTCGTGAAAAGGCACCTTTTGCATAGTGGATAAGAAAATCAACAAATCATAATCTTTCTTTTTCTTCCACTTCACGAAAGAGGAGCATTTTGATTGGTTGATTCTCTTATGCATCAACATTATGCGTCATACAATAGTGTGTGCTGCGACCTTTAATTCAGCTGGAAGCTGGAAACGTCTTTTGGCCCATCCCCACCATGTGAGTTGGAAGTGTTGGAATCTTCTTCTAGTCTTCATGGTCTTCATGATCGCAGTTTTTCGTGGATGTGACAGATTTCCTAACCTGAATAATTGTCAACTTTAACGATTAATATTTCAGTTCACAGAGGAAAACGACATTTTTTTCTCGTTAAATTTTTATTTTTACGCGAAATCACATTAATTAAGTGTATTTTTTAGAAAAATTGAGGTGACCGGGATATTCTCAAAATTTATCTTTTTTTTGTACCAAATTCTTTCATTTTACGCATCGAAAAAGCATTTTTTCTTAATATTTTTAATTTTTAAGATTTAGGGAGCTATTCTGTATAGTTACCATGAGTATGTATGGATTGTGTTTCTTCAAAAGATAGTAATTTATTTTTTCCAAGAGCGTTATTTTGTTGTTATCTTTTCGCTTGGTCATCTTTCTGCTCAGAATATCTACTTGTTTCTGATCTATTTATCATTTGACAATATGATGCCAAATATGGATGTCTTTGACAGTTTATATTTGTGAGTAGATTATTATAGAATATACTTATATAGAATGTACTTTATATTTAGCACAAAATACTTATGTAGAAAAGTTATGTGCACTGTCAATTCTGTATGTTGCTTACTTTAATTATCAATTTTATTCTGCCAAGATATGCCACTCCAGAGAAGTTTTTTGTGGAACCAGTTGGAACCAAGGTTCTGTTAGTAGTTGATAGAGTGAGTCAGCAGATCTATACCCAAGGTAATTAACAGACAGTTTTATGTGTTTAAATTAAATTAAAATTGATCATCTTTGTTTCTTTTTGCAGTCGGTAGTGCTAGTCAGATTCCAACAACTGCCAGCCGTAGGAAAATATGGGGTTTGGTAGGAACTATACATCTCTTGGCGTGTCGTTACCTTATTGTTATTACGGATGCTCAGATGTGTGGGACTATAGCTGGACATAACATTTTTAAAATATCTTCAACAGATGTGATACCCTATACTAGGTCCTTTTTACATTTGACTGAAAAACAGGTCCAAAATAATTCTACATACTTGGAGATGGTAAAATCTGTCTTAAACACACCATACTTTTACTTCAGTTATACCTATGACCTCAGTCATACTATGCAGAGGCTGCACAACACAACACCTGAATTCTTGCAAGTAAATATGTTACATGTTTAGATTGCTGTTTTATGCAGTGTCACAAACAGTTTTATGGTAAGAACATGTTATTATTTAGATGCCACTTCATGACAGAGCAGATCCCAGATTTGTATGGAATGCCTATCTTCTACAGGATTTAAGTGCAAGACCAGAACAATACAAATTTTGTTTACCTATTATTCATGGCTGTATCCTTCAAAAGTATCATATCATTTAAACTTTTAAGTATTTGTATTTTTCTGTAATGAGCTCCCTTAACAATTGGTTATACAGTTGTTTCACTGAATACAGTGGTTGTAAATGGTGTTGCATTCAATTGGGGTATTGTCTCTAGACGTGGTATACATCGTGCTGGAACAAGATTATTTTCACGTGGTATAGATGCCACTGGGAATGTATCAAATTATGTAGAGACAGAGCAGCTGATCGAGGTGAATGGCAATTGTAGTTCTTTTGTGCAAACACGTGGATCTATTCCTCTGTTTTGGTATCAAGCACCAAACTTGAAGTACAAGCCAAAGCCACAGATCAGTCCACATGAGGATCATCAAAGCGCTTGTGCTCGTCACTTTGATGTCCAAATCTTTCATTATGGAAAGCAAATTTTAGTAAATTTAGTACGTTTTCTTTTTTATGATATTTAAATTTAAATATATTATAAATAATTTATTATATTTAAATACTATAAAATTAAAATAATTGTAAGAAAAGCTTTTTTGTGAATTATGTTTGTTCTATCTGCACACAAACACACACACACAAAGAATGTTTTATTTTATAGAAAAATTTTGTTATTATATTTGTAAACATACTAGTATTTTAAACAGATTGATCAGCGTGGACCAGAAGCATTGCTAGAAAATGCATATCGTAATTTAGTGCAAAGAATTAACAATCAAAATATTCGGTATGAGGCTTTTGATTTTCATGCGGAATGCAGAAGACTGAGATGGGACAAATTGAACACTTTAATGGACCGATTAGCACATGATCAAGAACAGATGGGATATTTCTTATTAATGAGGGACGGAGTATTGCTTTCTGCTCAGGATGGTGTTTTCCGTACAAATTGTATTGATTGTTTAGATCGAACAAACGTTGTACAAAGCATGCTGGCGAAGCGAGTTCTTAATGAAGTATTGAACAGGCTAGAGATACTTAGAAAAGTAGAAGATCATCCTGCATTTGAAAATCTTTTCAAACAGGTATTTTATTTTTTCAGATAATTCTCAAATTTCTACCAAATTTTTAATATTAAATAAAATATAAAAAGTAGTCTTATAAAGTAGTGATATGTAGATAATAAATAAATAATTATAATATTAAATAATAATACAAATGAGATATAGTCTGATATTGATTTTTTAATAATAAAAATAATTTTGTTGAATAAAAAATTGTTTACTAATATTTGTAGATTTGGGCAGATAACGCAGATGTAATAAGTATTCAATATTCGGGTACAGGGGCGTTGAAAACTGACTTTACGCGAACTGGAAAACGCACTAAATTGGGTGCAATGAAAGATGGTTTAAATTCTCTGACGAGATATTACAAGAATAATTTTGCCGATGGATATAGACAGGTAGATAATTTTTGAAAACCTTTTTTTTATGATGTTTTGAATAATCTTTTATATATTGTACAGGATTCGTTGGAGCTCTTTCTAGGTCGTTACATTGTCCAGGATGGTGAATGTACTTCCATTCAATGTCCCTTGGAATCTGAACGAAATTGGCGTTATGCTACATTCCCACTTGTTCTTTTAGTTGCATCTTCGATGTTGGTCGCTCATGTAATCTTACCATCGCGATACACAACGGAAATATTACTCTATATGCTATTCTGGGGCGCTATGGTAGCCGGTACCTTCGCTACCATTATTCATCACGGCAAGCAATATGTCGATAAGCCAAAATTACTTTAGAATTAATGATTTTATAAAATTTTAAATTATATATATTGTACAATATGAATAATGGCGATATGTAACTGTAGAATTATTAGTTTTGCACAATTAATCGTTACAAACAGTTATCAATTAATATTTTGGTTTTGGTATCACGACACAAAAATAGATCTCATCGTGCGACAATTGATTTATAACATTTATTTTTATAAAGTTAATTTATGTTGATTTTCAAGAGTTCACACTTTACAGTTACACAAGCAGTTGTATCTGTCAAATGAGCTTTTATTGTAGTATAAGATTTATTATGTGGGGACACGGTATTCGTTATAACTTATAAATTATTATTACAGTGAAATTTGCACTTTTCGTATAGTAGAACATAGTTGCAGTCTATTCTTGCGAACGTTTCTTAAGATTTGCTTGACATTTTGTAACAAGCTCTTCTGACATATTATAAAAGATCAAGTCTCTGGCAGGATAAGCAGTAAGGCAGCAGAAAGGAGATTTTCAAGGAAGAGATTGGACACAAAGTTTGGTCTGCTATATTTTTCAGAACCTGTCTACGATAGAATGAATCTGTGCATCTTATTCTATCTTATGGGTTTTTTTTTTACAATAAGTCATTACCTAAGCTTTTAAGTCTTAAAAGTCGTAAAAAATTGACTGATCACAGTTGAATGTGAAAAGGATAATTACCTATGATTGCTCAATTTCTTACTGCTTAAGGTTCAAGATTAAATAATGACTTATTGTAAAAAGTCTATTATCCATTTATATCATTCTAATCATTTTTTTAAATATGGCAGATTAATAAAAAATTGTCTAAACTATGTACAATCTCTTGCTTAAGGATTTCTGAGGCGACTGTAAACCGAACTAAATAATCGTGTTTCATATTCACCGTCCATAGATAACCTGAGATAAGCGTATGAACGGTTTTCAATCTAGAATTGAGACAATTCTTGAAATTCTTTTAGATCTTTTGTTGCATTTTTTTGTAAAATTTTCTAGAATTAGAAAAAACTTAAAATAATTATTTTCCTCGTAACGGTTGTTTTTTTAGAAATATATTCTACATATACAAAACTTTTATAATTATTTATAATGAACATTATTTTGATTAATTACCTGAAATTAAATTTTTCTTATAATTACATTAAAAAATGAGATAAATTAAAAATCGATTTAAATGTAATCTAAAAACAATTTAAAATTAAATAAGATTATTTTCCAAAATAATAATAATGTTTGTATCTTAATGGTTTACTGATTCGCAAAGTGCTTCTAGTAGGATTAACGTTATAAAAATGTAAATTAAGAATATATGTAGGGAATGTTCGGATTTTCATAAGTATGGAAATTTGAGCCAAAGTATACATACCATTTTTAGGATTTACATACAATGTATATGTGTATTATATTTTATTGTACATCTGTATAACATGGTTATAAATTACGACTATCTACATAAATGTAAACAAGAAATATGTCAGGTTGAGAGAATATTTTTTAATATTTCAAAAAACTTATCTCATTGTTAAAAAAAGAAAAAGTCGAGTAGACGGAGTTTGCTTATTAAACTATATGTTCATAATTTATTCTTTTTGTGGATGTTTGTGGTTATTTGGATAGTACAAATAGTTGAGTCATATAATCAGACTATATTGAGATATGTATATATTATATATATGTATATACTTCACTTTTCTATTTATCTAGTATGGGGATTTAATCATGGATTTAATGCTACTGTGCTTACTACTACTATCTCAATTTGTGACATCAGAAAATAATACATGTAAAAATAAAGAGTTAAATAATATTTGCTCTAGATGGGAATTATGAAACTGTTTTGGAATGTATTCCGATTGGAATTATTTCGTTTTTCTTACAAAATACAATAGAAATCATGAGATTGAAGTTTGGAGCGATCGTGGAGCAAAAATTCAATGCAAGCCCACATTGAACAAACAGATAATTGACGATCACTCCAATCATCAGAGTCCATTCCAAATAATTTCATAATACATATTCAGAAGCAAAAAAATCTAATAAAAATTCTTGCAAAATATATTAATATGGTAGTACGTTTTAATAAAACAATCAATTAAACCGATTTGTAAAATATATCATAATTCTTCTTTTGTTTTGTTAAATAAATAATTAACATTAATAAATAATAAGCTATATGCATCTATAGGCTACACTCCAAAATGTACTCCGAGGAAAATTTTATAATGTTTTCGGCTCGACCTGGTTGCACTAACCCTGGTTGAATGATATTTCGTGCTTTCCTATTGGTAGAGCGTATAACATCAACCAATAGCAAAACGTTTTCCAACCCAAGTTGGTGCAAACCTGGTCGGGCCAAAAACGCTAACTCTAGAGATCCTCTAATAAAGCCCTGTATCCACGATGCTAGAAATTGGTTCGAGAATCTCGAACAGAGAAAGGATTAACAAATCACATTTGAACAATTTGGACACTTGACCAATACGAATTGGTTAATTCATTTTTTTACCCGAGATCTCTGACCGATTTTCAGCATTGTGAACACAGGGCTTAAGAGTTGCGACATGAGAAAATTGCATTTTGATTGGTCCGGCATGTTTTAACAATTTCTACCTATATTTGAATACCTATATTCATGTTATTCTTAAATTTCAACAATATAATTATAATTCAAAGATATTAATAAACAGATTTTTACGTATTACATCTCGTAGAGAAAAGAATTTTTTGTTACGGGCATTCAATGTTTCACATCATTTAATTCTTCAACATCTTTCGCTTTTTTGCCCGACGTTCGGAATTTTGAGGAAATACTTTTATTAGATAGTTTTTGGCAACTGAATTATATTGAAAATTAGGCTGCACATACTATTTTTATAATAACGGAAATCTGCCGTTAGCGTAGGTTTAAATCATTAGATTACAAATACGTTTTAAAGTTAGATAGAGAGATACAATATATTTCTCTCTCTGTTATCGATTTTGTTAAAACTACTACCTTGTATACAAAAATTGGCTCGTATTGGTTTATGTCGCTACTCTTATTATAGGGTCTCTAATTAGAAGATCTCTAATATAGTAGCCACATAGTTCTCAAACCGAAAATTGATTTATTGGCGATAGTAAACGGGCGATTTCAATGATAACAAGAAAAAGACCGGTATATGGCCTCTCTCAGGTTTCTCTCTGGTCGATTAAGTTTAGAGCTATGGCAGAGAACGAGACGTAACGATACGTACAACTGTCGTAGTCGTGATATAGGATAAGAAACAATAATATAATAATAATATGATATGATAATTAATAAGTAGACATATACACAAAATAAAATAAAAATAGATTTATTTATAAAGGTAATGATTTATTTGTTTCTTCACCTCCTGGAATAGTTATGATCTAATACACAATTATTATTCTAGAACCTATGTTAACCAATATTTTTCGAAGTATGTATATGTAATTGCTAACAGAAGATTTTCTTAACATATATTTTTAAAATCATTGTTCCTATAATCTTTTTTTTAGTGACTGTTTCGTATGTTCATGATTTTAGCTAAAAGTGCGTTATATGTACAGAGAGATCGAGGTGACATAGAATCGTAGAATTTAACTGTGGGTAGTGTCGCCAAGGTCAAGTCGAGATCTTGAATTTTTTAAATGAAATCCTATTTTTCATTATATTCTGATAGCTTTTCTCGAAATCAATCTTGCCTTTACTGGTTGGATCAGTCACGTACCGACCTTGCCAAAGGTAATCTCGACTTGACCTCAAACTTATAAGATTAGCAGAGATCTTTTTATGTTCTATAACTTTTTTATCTGAAACAATTTTTTATAAAACTTATATTTTTTGAGATATTTCGAGGTCTGACCTTATTCGAACTGCGATAAAACAACACACTTCCGAGATATTCATTTGTAAAAAATGATTCTTTTGGTGCCCTCTCTGAAAGTTTGTCAATGGAATTTTCCAATACTCTATATATATATATATATATACTATATATATATACACACATGTATTTATTTAATTACTTATTACATTAATTACATATCCATAATTATAATAAATGAAAATGATTACTAATCGCAAATTTCAGTTATTATATATGGTATCTCAAACCAAGCATTTATTTGTTTCATTAAATAGTCTTTAAAGTTTATATTTTTATTTTAAAGTTTTACTTTGAAGTTTTACTTTTATCATATAAAAATGAATGTCCTCTGTATAATTCAATGAGAAGCTCATTATCTCTTTTTCTTCAATATTAATATTTGCACAATTGTCAGTATAGTCGTCTGTGTTGCTTTCGTCAGGTGATTTAGTATTAATATTACAATAATATTTTAAATAATTAGACATTTTTCAATCACTCGTTAGTACTACTTCAAAAGTATTTTCTGTCTAAAACAAAAATTAAAAATAATAATATTAATTACAAAGAAGCACATAAGTTGTACTATAATAATCTCGTCCATAGTCTATGAATGTCTTATTGTTAGAATAAGTTCTAGCTATTAATGATTCTGTGTCACGCTCTTTGTGTACATACATACGCACTTTAGCCAAAATCATGAATGTACGAAACAGTTACTAAATAAAGATTATATAGAAACAATGATTAAAAAAATATATGTTAAGATTATTAAGAACATATTTTGTTAGCGCAACGTAATACCCAAAAAAATGTTAACTTAAAATAATATAATTACGTACTATTATGACTATTTCAGGAAGTGGAAACAAATAAATCATTACCTTTATAAATAAATTTATTTTTATTTTATTTTGTATATATGACTGTGACAGCTACGCTTTTCTCTGCCTTAACTTACGTCACTACTGCGACAGTTACGTCCCGTTCTCTGTCATAGTCCAACGAGACGTAACGTTTCGGAAAAATTCTATCCCATGGGAAGCCAGGCTACTTAAAATTGGAACGGAACGATGCTGATTAATTCCGGAGATTAAATTCCCGGCCGAGGTAATGCTTTTTATAACAAATTATTCATAGTTTTTAGGTTTTATCAACATATGATAATTAATATTCTTGTTAAAAAAATATGATAATTAATATTCTTGTTAAAAGAATATAATAATTAATATTCTTGTTAAAAGAAGCTTATTAGCGCATCATTAAATTATTAAATTACTTGTACAATTTAATAAGTAATATTACTACTCTGATTCTGTTCACGAATGCATTTATATACGGAAAAGCATTTTGGCGCGATATGCAGAATCAGAATGTATATATAAATTCACAGAAATATATTTAACTTAAACATTAATATTCTCTCCGATCGAATATAGGATTCTTCTTCTTTGAAATTTAATTTATTCATGTCGGTCTAATAGCTATTTCATATTTATCGTGATTTTCTTTAATGGTGAAATAGCATTTATTATAGTGGTAGTTCACTAATAAATACTTTAATCTGTCCATTATATAGTTGCAGTAAGAGAATAATATTATCTCGTAGAGGAGCAAACTGAAAGATACGCACGTGAATATCCCTACCGCTATGTTTCATTAATAACATATATATGTAGACGATCGTTGAATATAATCACTCGAACAGTTGGCTGCATACTGTAGGAATAGATGGACGGGCTGATTGACTGATTATTAGTTCGTCCGTTGTCGACGGGAGCTTACGGAAAATATCGATTGTTGTTTGGTGAAATTATCGACTTATATTTATATACTTTGAATAGATTTATTTTAATATATTTGCGACATGCGGAAGCCACATCCATCTATAGTTTTCTTTTTAATTGTGGTGTTTTCTACTTGTTGTTTGGCTGTCAATCAGACTTTTGTGAATACGACGAAAACAAAACTTAAAATACTTGGTGTCTTCGGTCATTTTGGCAAGAGTCATTTCGACGTGTTCAAGCCGCTTCTGGAGGAACTAGCTCGAAGAGGTCACGAGCTCACTGTGGTCTCGTATTTTCCTAGAAGTGACAATGCCAAGGCGAAAGAACCGCTGCCCAATTATAAAGACATCAGTCTGGTGATTTCCAATGACGGCATCTTCGTAAATATTATAGACCTTCATCAGATCAATCACGGATGGTCTCGTGTCATGCAGGATATCTATATGTTAAGGACCATGGCAGATTACGCGTGCAATACCGGTCTGCGAAGTTCGAATGTTAAAAAGTTCCTTCAATCCGACGAAAAATTTGATCTAATTCTCACAGAGAATTTTAACACCGATTGTTTTTTGGGTTTTATTCATCACTTTAAAGTGCCATATATTGCTTTATCATCGCATCAAATTATGCCGTGGACCAACAATGATATGGCCAATGTTGATAATCCCAGTTACATCCCGAATATACTAATTGGCTTAACTAAACCATTAAATTTCTTCAGTCGAATAAAAAATGCATTATTTCTGTTATTGACTAAAGCGATCTATGAATATTACTTCCGAGTTGTTGATCAAGTTGTCGCTAACGAAGTCTTTGGTCCGGATCTTCCCGAGTTAAAAGAAATTGCCCTACAATCGCAAGCGTTGTTAGTAAATACCCACAGTAGTATTCATGGTAGCAGGCCTCAGTTGCCAAATGTAATAGAAATCGGTGGACTTCACATTTCGACCAAAATCAATCCGCTACCAAAGGATGTAGCTGAGTTCCTTGACAGCGCCCATGAGGGAGTGCTGTATTTCAATTTAGGCTCCATGATCAAGATGTCATCAATGCCACAGAAGAAGCTGGATGCTATATTAAAAGTGATGGGCTCGATACCGCGGAAAGTGATTTGGAAGTGGGAGGTTGATGAATTACCGTACAAGCTGGACAACGTAATGACCAGAAAATGGTTGCCTCAATTCGACATAATGAGTAAGTGAAAGGATGTTCTTTTTTTTTTATAGAACAGGATGTGCTCAAGGTCGAGTCATTGTATCAGACTTCGAATTAGTTTAAAAGTATAAAAAGAACTATTATAAACTATTAATTAATACAGCAAGAAAAATTAAATTATTCTTTTTTGAAGGTTTTAACAATTTTATACAAAAATATTTTTTATTTCCTTCAGATCTTGTGTATATTGTGATGTATATTAAATTTGAAGACGTTATCCGTTGAAATGATTTAATTCTGTTGATATTCTCTGAGATCTGATGTAAATAAATAATAATGTATATTCAAACAATAATTGAATAAAGGCCGAATGACGGTCAAGCAAGATTTAGGTTGCTACAGTAATGTGTGAATTTTATTTACCACGTATGTAGTCTTCTTTAATCGCGCGCCGAAATATTTTCAGTCTTTTACAAACGCAACTCTAAATAACTACCGTAATAATATCACTAGTTAAATTGACACGCAATCTAACAATATTTGATGCTTATAGCATCTTATTGGATCTTAATAATATGTTGAAAGACATATATTAAATTTTAATGATTTGTTATTAATTAATGTAAATTAAATTAATAATAAATCAAATTCTGTGAAAAATAAGATTGCGAAGAATATCACAAATTGGCACAATAATGTATATGTTGGGGAAATAATAGAAATTTTGAATAAAAGAGTTGTTTAATATAGATTACTTATTAAAGTGCGCACGTATTAAATTAAAAAAAAATTTTAACATAGTTTTAATAAAATCAGGTCTGAAGGGGTTAAGAAGAAACAATAAAAAATACTTTTATGTGAAATTTTATATTAAAGATAATACTACAAATTTACATTGCGTATACCAATGAATGTATAATACGTGATTTATTTATTCAAATTTAAGTGGCAAGTATTATGATAAACAAGAATTGGAAATAATGTAGAATATATAAAATGAAAGTTACAAAATGACATTATGATAAATAGTCGTTCTTAGGATATTTCAAAATAAAATGTGTGTTCATTATTTGTGAGTATTTATTATCTATATTGAATAATTCATTTGATAATTTCTAGATCGTACTGGTTAATAAAGTAGTGTGACGCATAGATTACACGTTGCATATTTCACACGTGGCATTGAAACATCAAATGTAATAAGACCGAGATTGATTTACAATTAAGATTTAAAGCTGACTAAATATTTATGAAATTAGAATTAAACAACAACAAAGTTAGTTTATCGTTATCGTTTTGTACACAGTTCATTTAAGAATTTTCAATCTCTATTTTAATAGAGTTCTGTAATGAATATGAAATCATATAAAAAAACTGATGTTTATATTATGTACTCTTAATATTATTATTAATTTTGTGATGTAATGTACAAAGATAAATGCATGATTTTCAAAATAATTGTGGAGAAACCAGATTTACTATAATGACATTCATGCACGTGAATACGTACACAGATGTTAGTCATCATTAATTACTACTAATGATTGTATAATATCACATCAATAATTTTCTCGAGTTACATAATAAATATTTCAAAAACGTGAAAAATAATTACTTTTGTTTATCAAAGTATTAATATTATTCTACAGTTGACACCAACTAAAAGTAACATCGACTTTTAGCTTCATTTGCTTCTGGTTATATAGTTGGTGAAGTATAAGACTCAAACCATTTTTAAGGCCATTGCACGGAAAAATATTTATTGACTTCACCGTCCGATGTTAACCTAATTGGAAATGTGTGAGGATCGAGACGAGAGAAAAGCATTTCTTCACTTTGAAATAATTATCATATCATTTATGTTCGATCTGGAAGTAACTTTTCAAGACTTTGACAGAAAATCTCACAGAAAGATATGTCTCGACGTTGCCAAGCCATAATCAACAACGGAGGGGACAAACGTATATACATTGAAGCGTATATAATTTAAGATTATATAAGTATTCGTTTTTCAAAAATCTTTTCTAGGAAAAACAACTAATATGCGCTCTTGTGCCAATAACTGTAACATTAAAGGGGAATACACCTCAGAGGTCTAAAAATTATACCTAATTTAAAATTATACTCTCTTTTTTACAACAAATCAATTAACTTAATCAAAACTTGTTTTTATGGATTTGTTTTTAAGAGCACTCGTCAAAAAAAAAGATTGATGCTGCTGACATAATGTTGCTATTTTGCACGATAAAAATTCACAAAAGAATTTTCTGTAATCTTGACAATTAATAATTTTATATAATAAAACCCTTTATAAAAACAATTTTTGATTAAATTAATTGGTTCACTACAAGAAATGGCTAAAGTTATGTATTTTTTTAAGTCTCAAAGGTATTTACCTTTAATGTTGCTTTCAATTTGTGTCGACTACTCTGAGAAACATGCAATGGTTTGATTATATTAACAACAAGTATATAATTAACGCTCGCTTCCTCCAACGTAGATTAAGTTTAATCTCAGTTTAACTTACTGTTCATCTTTTTTTAATTTTTAGATTTATGCACGCATTAGTCTATCTTTACAGCATAGAAAACAAACGTTTTTCTGTGCATGATAAGAGGATAATCATTATTAGTCGAAATTAATTTCATATTTTAAGAATATAAGATTTCTCACACTTTTTACTTTTTAGAGCAAACAAAATAAAAAATTATTTATTTCTATAGTTTTGTAATTTAAGAAGTGAAACTTTTAAAACAAAGCCAACAAATGTTCACAGAAAACTTTTCTTTGTTTTGAGGCCCTAAATTCATATTTTAAGTTTGATATCTTAATTCAAGATATATGCATAGTTTCATTTTAATTGCCTATTTCGAATATATTACAAAAAGCACATTAAAAAATGTTTTAGAAGAAAGTTGTACGATTTGTGTATGCATGTCAAGAGCTACAAACTACAAAATGTATATAACTTTATTGTCACCGGAAGAAAACTCGTTACTTTATTGTTCACTGTAGAAAAATCATGTTTTTAATTCTTCATCGCAGCTAAGAAGATATTGCAAAAAAATGCATTTTATAAGAGATGAGTAATATTATTCGTGATTTCTAATCAAAATTTCAAGATAACGTCAACTTTTATTACAAAAAATATCAAATATTATAAAAAAAATTATTATATCTCGATTATCTTGAAAACTTAACGTGCTAGAATTTTTTGGATTGCAGTATCGTTTTTAGTCTTTAAAAATTTATAAGAAACACCTAGTCCAGTTTAAAGTAATTTTTTGTTGCAAATTAATTTTATTGTCTCTTAAATGAGATGTTATTTCTTTTAATTTTTGTGAGTGTACTTGAAGTAGCAACGTATTACAGCAGTATATATTTAGTAATTATGAATACTTGGACAAATTAGATTATTGCAACAACTTTTATTACTTTACATATTTCTTATTTAATATAAAAAATATATTTTTTTATTTTGCTCATTGACGACTACATAGAAATAAAAAGTAATCAAGTAAGAAGTTTTTTGCCGGTTTGTCTACCAGAAAAAATCTGATTGCATAAACTGATAGATTCAACCAATTTTGTTTAAAAAATGATCAAATCAAAATTTTAGAAATTACCAAATGAGCATTGTTCCTGCTCATTGTTAAATTTATCACATAAAATTTTTTTAGTAATAATATCTATCTATTTATTTATGTACGGCATAACTTTTTAGTAAAATAAACGTTTACGAGTAAATATAATTAAAGGTTTTATAGAGAAAGATTCATCTAAAAATATTAATTAATTCCTTATAGTTAAGCCTATTAGATAGATCTAATAAAATATCGGGCTCAATTATGAAACTAGAAATTTTGGTTTCAATCAAATCATCAAAGTGCATTCTATCGTCATTCATACGTCTTGTTGTTACAGTCAGCACATTATCTTCAATGTCGCAATCGTAATTTACGTAATGTTTAATTAGCAATTATAGATACGCGAGACGACACGCATGTTTTTACATCATCTCTTGCGGCAATCGCATGATAAATTCACGCAGCATTGATTGCGATCGCGGGATAACTTTGTTTCGCGATAATCATTTCCACGAATAGTGATCACACTTTTACAGCGCAGACTAGTGTACGCACGCGCTGTGGATTTCCAATGGTAATGCCTTGCTAAAAATTTTATCGGGTTGTATTTGACCATAGGACAACGTACAGATACACATGTCATCGCTGAGATTCATACACTCTTTTCTATAACCTTTAAATAATAAATCGAAATGGTAATATTTTAATTTTTTAATTAAACGGAATCCAAATATTAACGTTTTTATACCTATTAAAGTAATAGTAACTTAAGAGCAGTACGTATATTTGTATTTTCATTAAAAAAAAAAAATATTACATGTGTAATCTTCTAACTCAATCTAAATGACATGTATTCTCTATTCTAAAAAAATACATAAAAATAAGAGTATTTAATTGAAATAAAATATATAATTTTAAGATAGGGGGGGCTCTGGAAATTTAAACAATAAATAAATTTTAATAACCGGGTAATTAGAGCATAAGTACTGCGCGACAATTAGAGTGCAATTATAATAATATATTTCAATTTTTTTTAGGCGTTTCGATTTTCTTCAAACCATTTTTAGTAATTATTAAATGTAAAAAAATCTTATTAATGGATGTCAAAAATATTTAGTGTCCGCTAATACCCGTGAAAAAAAAAATATATAGACTTAATATAATTAAATATAAATTTTATTAAAATTTAATATAATACTTATTAACAATTCCAATAAATGTGGTTTTATTAAAACCATATTTATACAAATAGATTTAATTTGGACCATATAATGATCCATATTAAGTTATTAAATCAATTTATTAAGACCTTATTAAAACTTATTAAAACTTGTTAAGACACCATATTAAAACATATTAATTCAACTTATTTAAAACTTATTAAGATTTAATTAAATATATATAAATTGGACATTAATAAGATTTAATAAGGACTTATTAAACTTAAATAAGTTTATAATATAAACTATATTAAAAATATATATTTATTTATAAGGTTATATAAAGACTTTATAAATTCTTTATATGAATTTTGATGAATCTTTATAAAGAACTTATAAGACTTTTATTTAGAATATATAAATTTTTTTTTCGCGGGTAGTTGGATAAATTTCATAGTCCGCAACTGTTAAAAAATTCTCTGTTTTAAACACAGAATGAACTATTCATCACTTTTAGGTAAAGAATTACTGTTTGTTTTTTCGCCGTTTAACAGCGGAAATCAGTATATGCAAATCGTTAATTTTAAACTGACAGCCACGTTGGTTAACACAAGAATATTTTTTTACGTCGTTATCAGTTTAAAATTGACAGTTTGCGCACATATTGACTTTTACCTGAATACTAAAATTTATAATTAATGTTAATTTAAAATTCTTTTGATTTATTTTTATACTTCACTCTGTATGACATATGTCACAAAAAAAATTCTTGAAATTTTATCTGTTTGGATGGAAGCAGCTACTTGGTTAAACTGTTAGTGTATGTGCTCGAAGATTATATTCAATACATTTCTAACCTGGAATTGCGAGGTGAGACCTTAGTATTTAGTCACTTAGTTATTAAGATAGATAGGCTGCATGAGTTGTGATTTAAACGCAAATTGTGATAGTATATGGCTGTGTATAGAGTATGCTTCAGAGAAGCGCGCGAAGTAAACATAGAAGGTATGGAAGAATGTGTGCAATAGGTATTTATGTAAACCAAGTCCCTTCTTGGCTGAAGTGAATAAATTTCTATTCTATTCTATTCTACATTTCTAACCTAAATTTTATTTTATTAATTCAAAGTATGCAAACTTTTATTAAATTAATTAAATTTTATTAACCTTATAATATATATATGAACACAAATTATTGTATATTTATTTACGAATTGTAAGAAACCAATTTCTTAAGGTATCTTTACATAGGAACGTCAAACGTCGAGTATTAAGTATTATGGGCTTGCTATTTGTCTATTTTGATCTATTTTTAGCAAATAATAAGTTCACAACGCTTTACGCTCGACACTTGACGCTCTTCTAATGCAATGGCACCTTTATGATTACGACACAATATACATATGTGACATGTTGAAGCATGCGCAGAGAGAACAAATGTATATAATGTTTCACATAGAGGAAGGGAGGGCAAAACGGAACATATTCATATCTATTTAAATATTCGAGCGTACCAAGGTCGAGGCCTTGAGTCGCGTTTACGAAATTACAATATCTTTAGAGGTATATCCTGATAAATAATACATTATTTCATAGAATAATTTTGAGATAACTACCAGACAAATAAATGGTAATATAGTAAAAGGCAACTCACAAAATAAACACAATAATGAGAAAATCAAGATTACGCCAAATAAAGTATTATTTGTTTTTTTTTTAGTATACATTTCCTTTTAAGGACATT